CCCTCTCTTCCTGAACAGTCCCAAGTCCCTACATTTGCATCTGCTATGCAATATTCCCTCTCTCCTTCTCCTTCCCTTGGATTTAACTGACCCTCTCCCCTCACCAGTCCCCCATGCAACACCCCAAAAGACAAAAAAGTACCTGTCCAATCCTCCCTAGGTGCATCTTTGCACCCTTTGGGAGGTTCTGAGACTGGCCCTACTCGGTCCTAAGAATCCCAAGGTCTTCTGGGAGCTTCCAGCATGTTACTTAGCATATCATTTGCATACTGACATCTCTTTAGGTTTCCTTCCATTTTTCTCTTCTCTCAACCTGTGTTTCTTTTTTACTGAGGAGTTAGTCCCCATTGGTCCTTGTATCACACTTTCATTTGCACGACATTACATGCAGGTGGTGGGGAGTCTGGGCTTTTGGGGAACCAGGCGGCCCTGGTCCCCAGTATTGCCCCCTCCTAGCCCCTCTAGTCCAGTTTGCCTTCCCTATCCTAATTTTCCAATCCTCTTGTACCCTCCTCTCCCTCCCCCCAGCTGGTGTGTAAGTGTCTTGGAGTTCAGTGTGTTATGATGGACCAATAACTCTGCCACTTGGGGTCTCTCCCTACATTCCTGCTCCCCAATTTTCATGTGGGGCACGCAACTGACATTCCCAGGGGTCTCCCTCCTTCCCATCTGCCTGATCTGCCTCCTCCTCCCACCAGGAGAGTTGGGGGTTGGCAACAATCTGATCTCTTTTGGGAGGAGTGGCTACCAGTGTGTGGGGGGGGTCATCACTGCCTTGGGGAGGAGTGGGACAGGGCAGAGAATCCCCCCAATTCCTGCCTGAAATCTCTGGCCTCACCCCTGCTGGAGGTTGGACTGAAACCTTCCTCCCCTGTTTGGGGGTGTTGCCCCCATCACTGCCCAGCTCCTCTGACTGCCCCCCTGTATTCAGGGTGGGGGTATTAGTCACTGCCAAAGTGTGTTTGGGACTTGCTGGATGATGGGGAATCCTTGCCCTTTTCTGGTGCTGTTGAGCCCCAGAGAGAGCTATCCCCTCATTGGGTGAAGTGATAGAGGATGGGTCTAATGTCTTTTTAAATGGCACAATTTTAGGGGTCTGAGGGTGCAGTCCCTTAGCCTGCCACTGGAGGGGGGCCCCAAACTCCCCATGCCCCCACCACCACTCCAGGTTTTCTGTGTGGAGGGGGAGCAGGGAGATCTAAATTGTGGTGTGAAAGGGTAGGAGAGATGCTGGGGGTGGGGGTGCTGTGTTCTAGACCCCCCATATTATCCCAGTGTCCCCTGCCTTCCCTCTTCCCCCATCCCGTGCCCCCAATTCTGTGGCGCATCCAGATTGTGAAAATGTACAATAAATGTGTAATGAGTAACCAGGTAGTGTCTGTATTTTTGTGTGTGTGTGTTGTTGTTTTTTTTTTTTTTTCCTCTGCTAAGGATTGAACCTAGGGCCTAGCACATGCTAGGCAAGTGCTCCAGTACTGAGCTGCATCTCCAGCCCTTTTTATTTTATTTCCAGACAGTCTGGGTAAATCGCCCAGGCTGGCTTTGAACTCAAGGTCCCCTGTTGCAGATTCCGCAGATTCCCACAGACTCCGGAGTTACTGGGATTAATCCTTTGTTAAGGGAGAAGGATGTTGGATCTACAGGTGTAACTGGAGGTTGGGAAGCAGCTGGGCTTTGCAGGAGGCCCTGATCTTTAGCAATGCAAATTGTGATTCCTCAGGTGGCCAACAGAGGGGCACCAGGAATTGGTAATGGCTGCTGAACTTTTAAGTTCTGGGGTTCCCAGCTTGCCTGGGGTGTGCTTTTGATGTTGGACTCCTTTGCCCCCTCCTAGATTTAGGTGCTCTGTAGTTGCTCCCAGTGGGTTATTCACTCCTAGTTCTGGAGTAGATGGTCATGTCGTGAATCATCTCTTTCCCCTTTGTGCTCAGCAGTATGCCAGTGTCAAAGGGATTAATAAATACTTGATTTTGTTTGGTACTAGATATTGAACCCAGGGGTGCTTTACCACAGAGCTGCATTTCAGCCTTTTTTATATTTTGCAGGGACCAGGGATTAAACCCAGGGGTACTTAACCACCGAGTAACTCCAGCCCTTTTTCTTATTTTGACACAGGTTCTTGCTAAGTTGCTTAGGGCCTAAGTTGCAAGTCTGGCCTTGAACTTTCAGTCCTCCTGCTGTAGCCTTCTGAGTTGCTGGGATTACAGACATGCCAGTGCTCTCTGCTTTAGTTTTTTGAAACAGGGTCTAAATTGCTTAGGACCTCGCTAAGTTGGTGAGGCTAGTCTCGAACTTTGGATCTACTGCCTGAGCCTCCCAATGCTAAATACTTGTTGAATCAGCTCAGGAAGACCCAGATTTATGACATACAGCAAACTAGTATTGACACAGTACATATACATAGTATTGACATACTACATACAATAGATGGGATGTATAGCTCTTGAGCGATATCCCCAGCTCTTTTTTATTTTGAGATATGTTGTCGATAAATTTCTTTTTTTTAATATATATTTTTTAGTTATACATGGACATAATATCTTTATTTTGTTTGTTTATTTTTATGTGGTGCTGAGGCTTGAAATCAGTACCTCACATGTGAGGGGCAAGCACTCTGCTACTGAGCCACACTCCAGCCCCTGTTGTCGATAAATTTCTGAGGCTGGCTTTAAACTTGATTCTCCTACCTCCTTAGCTGCTGGGATTATAGGCATGGGCCACCATATCTGGCTCATGGATGCTTTTAAAGCCTCATGATCTACTGGCTGAGCTAGCTGGCCATCTTTAGAGCTGCTTTCAAATACAGATTTTTAGAAGACCCAAATTGGTGTGAACATACTTTATGTACAACCAGAGATATGAAAAATTGTGCTGTATATGTGTAATAAGAATTGTAATGCATTCTGCTGTCATTTATTAAAAAAAAAACAATAAAAACAGATTTTTAGGCCCCTTCTCTAGAGATTCTCATTATGTGTTTTCTTTTAATAATTAATTTTTTAATTTGTTGATGGACCTTTATTTTTATTTATTTGTATGCGGTGCTGAGAATCGAACCCAGTGCCTCACGCATGCTAGGCAAGTGCGCTACTGCTGAGCCACAACCCCAGCCCCTAGGTGGTTTTTTTTTTTTTTTTTTTTAAATTATTTTTTCCTGTAATGGGGAATGAACCCAGGGATGCTTAACCAGTGAGCCATGTCCCCAGCCCTATTATATTTTTTATTTTAGAGATAAGAGTCTCACTGAGTTGCTAAGTGCCTCGCTAATCTGCTGAGGCTGGCTTTGAACTCACGATCCTCCTGCTTCAACTTCCCAAATTGTTGGGATTACAAGTGTGTACCACTGTGCTTGTTTGATAAGGTGGTTCTAAGAGGCTCAGGTAATTCTTGTAACTAGGTATACAGTCTACCTAAACTTCCACCTTATAATATGCTAAGATTTTGTGTATGTTAAAAGCGTCTCCCAGTCATCCCATTCCTTGGTATATGCCCAAAGAAATTTAAATCAGCATACTACTTGAAGCAGCCACATCCATGTTTATAGCAGCTCAACGCACAATAGCTACGCTATGGAACCAACCTAGGTACCCTTCAAAACGGATAAGAAAATGTACATATACACAATAGAATATTACTCAGCCATAAAGAAGAATGAAATCATGTATTTGCCAATAAATGGTTGGAACCAGAAACTATCATGTTAAGTGAAATAAGCCAATCCCTCCCCCCAAAAAAGCTGAATGTTCTCTCTTGATATGTGGTTGCTAACATACAGTGGTGCAGTAGGGTGGAGAATAGAAGTTCATTGGATTAGACAAAAGAGAATGAAGGGAAGAGAGGGAAAATGGGAATAGGAAAAACAATAGAAGTAATCAGACATAACTTTCTTAGGTTCATATATGAATACACAACCAGTGAGACTTCATATAATGTGCAACCACAAAAATGGGATTCTAATTATAATAAGTTATACTCCACGTATGTATAATATGTCAAAACACACTCTACTGTCATATATATAAAGAACAAAAAAGTCCTCCTGAATCCCTTGTAGATTTGTTTCCCTGGGCCCTAGAATATTCTTTCTTTGTGGTTTCAGGGGCCTGACTTCAAATTTTAGCTCCACTGTTGGCTATTACTTCGTACAGATTATGTAACCTCTGAATCAGTCTTATTTGTGAGGAAGTGGGTAGCAAGTGTGTCGGCCTCCTTGGTGTTTTTGAGAAGCGCTTGGCCTGGCTACAAAAAATAATCAAGAGGCATCTGTAATGTCATTCGTTATCTCCATGATGCAGCGTTGAGATCTAAAGACCGCTTCATCCTAGGGCTCCATCTTCCAATTTTGGGTAGTACCAGGGACATAGAGCCGCAGCTAAGCCCCAGAGGCACTCAAGTCACGCTACAGACTGTCCCCACCTACGCCATCACCGCTTACATCTGCGCCTGCGTGCAGGTCACGCTCGATGCGCCTGCGCACACAGTCTTGGGTAAATGTCGTCAAGGAAAATCCCCAGCTTCTGGGTAAACAAGTTGCCGCGTGAGATCTCCAGCACGTGTCACCTACATCTCCACGACCTCAGCCTATGAGAAAGTTTGGAGGGCCGGACTGGCTTTTGCGTCAACCGATATGGGTAGGTCGCGGGTTGTTGTTACAGCCAGTAGAAATTCCGGAAACGGATGGAGGCGTGGCTTCCGGTCAGTCTCCCAATCAACGCACAGAGGCTGTCCCTCCCGCACGTGGATCTATCACTACCGGTTGTCACACTGACCAATGGGAAGACAACGGCGGCTGAAAATTCCAATAGAGGCTTTGCGAGGGCGGGGCGGCTGCACGCGGCGCGGGGCATGGGTCGGTGTCTCTGAGCCAATAAGATGGGGAGGGCGTGGCATCCCGGGCAGTGGGCGGGCCTGGTGAAGCCAGTGTAATCGCTACCTTACGTCCCACTGGTGAAGAAATTTGGATTCTGCGTGCGCTTCGAGCGGTGAGTGCCCCGGGGGTGGAGAGAAATGAGGAACGGGCTATATGTGTTTTTCCGGAATGGTGTGTTCGGTCAGAAGGGGTATAGTGGAGTGGAGGGATCTTGCAAATGCATGTCTGTCGCTCTGGGAGGTCTGATGGTTGTGGACAATAGAGACGGCGAACTCGGCTTAGGACGTGGGTGGGAGTTACTAACATCAGTTCACTCCACCACCCTAGGGTACCTAGACTCGACTGTCAGGGAAGGGTGCCCAGAAGCTCTCAGCGACTCGATGGAAAGGAAACCCCTGTTCGGGGGGAGGTATGGGGATGGTACCCCTGAGAATTGATGGGGAATGTTCCAGTGCATGACTGCGGTTTGGATAGGTGCCTTCAGCACTTGAAAGAGGCAGAGGAGAGGTTTTGAGGCTGGAGGGAGGTCCTGATAGGGCGGATGGGAGGGTACCCAGGGGCTGGCCTGGGATTTGAGAAAGGGTGCTGTGCTGATTGGTGTGACCTAGAGCCAGTCTCATCATGGCTGTGGTTGTCTTTCTCATGTGTCGAGGGGAGAATTTGGGTCTAGGAGCCATCCCTAGGAACAGAGGTGGGGCAGCAATTGTTGGGTTATGAGAGGAGGACAAATTAGGGATTTGTGCAGATTGGCTGTGCACAGATCCTCCTGAGCCGCCTGAAGTGGGGAGGCATCAAGAGCCTGCTCTAGTTAGTGTCTGTACAAAAACAAGGACTATGGTAATGTGGCCTGGAGTAAGGTGGAAAAATGAGGAAGTGAGTTTCCTAGGAAACCTTTGAGGGGGGACTACTGACGTGATCTCAGCATGGGAAAATGGGATACAAAAAGTGTGTGGGGAGTGTAAACAATGTTTGGCGATTGAACCTAAGGGGAAGAAGGGGTTAGATGGAATCTGTGTTCCAGGCACCAAACTTAGCTGGATATTTGAGAGGCCCAGGTTTGTCATTTTTTTGCTGGAATGCAGCTTAGAGGTTGGATAACACCTCACAGGTTCAGAGGGTAAGAAGTCAGAATGACCAGCTATCATTTAGAGCTCAGACTCGAACCCTGAGCTCCATTTGTTAAGAGGCTGAGACCATGTTATAAGGCAGAAAATTAGACAAGTTTAATAAATTCTTAGTGGTCCCCCCATAAAATGGAGGTAATAATGCCTTTTTTTTTTACAAGACTTTAATTAAAAAAAAACTCAACAAAAATATTAATCAAGCATTTTATATAAGGCATAATAATACCTATTTCACAGGGTTTTTTTTGGGGGGGATTAAATGAGATTAATGCATGTATAATGCTCAGTACAAGGCCTGGGTCATTTTTTTTTTTTAATGTAGCTTTAAAAATGGCTGTAGGGTGACAAAACAACTGTGACAGGGTGAGAGATTTATGTGAATGTTGTGACTGGGAATTATTCTCACATTCTCATGTTTTTCTGCAAGTTTTGATGACTCCCCATTTCCCTTCTTCCTGGTTCTTCTGGTCTTCAGGCACCAGCCCAAATTTCTTCATTCCTCCCTGTCCTTCTTCCAAGATCCAGGCCCCAGACTGGGCTATTTGCTCTGTCCCAGTTTGATTTCCTCATCCTAGACCCATTCACCTCCTTGCCCCTCCTCCCTCTCCTTCTCCCCGCCCCTACCCTGCTGCCATAGTAACAAGAGATTCGGGCTCCGAAGGGGGCCTCTGGGAGGGAGCAAAGGTGCGTCTTCTCTCGCAGAACTTGGGCCTCCACTTCTCCGCCCTGGCTCTTTGGTACTGGGCCAGCAGCAGTGTGCAGTTTGGGAGAGGGGGAAAGCCAGTGCCAGGAGCTGTTAGGAGCGAGCTGAGGGGCCGGCAGATGCGAGTTCCAAAAGGAGAGCCAGGCTTGGGGGCGGGGAAGGGGGACCCCCTCCTCCTAAAGCTCTCTCCAGGAATCCCTGGCTTTGGGACAGGACCGCTGTCGTTGGGTTGGGGGAGGCGTCCAGGCTGAGTGTATGTCCTGGGCCAACAGCCAAGAGAACACGATGTTCCCAAGTGCGCTAGCCGCCGCCCTCTTGGGCTGGCCGCCTCCCAAACCGCTGCCTTTCCAGCCTCCCTGCCCCACATTCCCCGGCTGCTTCGCCCCGCCCCCTTCCTCCGCTTTGACGTCACCGCTGTCTCCCGCCCCCTCTTCTCCATTGACGGCAGCAGAGCCTGGTTGCTGTGGGGACCGCGAGGCAGGACAACCGGGGCCTTAGGAGCAGGTGGGGGCTGCTGGAGCGCTGGATCTTTCGTCTATGCAAAATACAGATGTGGAGGTGGAGGTGGGCGAGCAAGAACTGCCTGGATCAGGGGAGATCATACCTAAATCCCTGAAGAGAGCTGGAGAGGGAGAAAATCGTTTTCATAGAAGAGGATCTGAAAATGAGACAAGGGCAGAGACACAGTAGGGGCGGGTGTGTTGGGGGGAGGCAGGACCATTTTCAAGAAGAGGAGGCTGAGAATCCAGGTTCCTGTATCCTTTGTTTTCTGTGTTTTCCTGTCTTGGTTTTTCTGGGTTATTTTATAACAGCCCTGTGTCCCAGCTTTCCCTCAGAGGCCTTGCCCTCACCCCTCAATGGGAAACACCATTGTTAAGAAAAGCTTAGGCCACGTGACAGTGAGGGGTGTGCATCTACAGCTGATTATGTCAGCAGTTGCGTGGGGCCTCTTCACTTGCTACCCACGTTTCCAGGGAGTCCTAAGAGGGACTACTCATCACAGTGCTGGATGGAGGGGCTGTGTAAGAACAGCTTTCCTGGACCCAGACTGGCACTTTATTTCCCCAATCAAGTCCCTGTTCTCTTTTTTTAGCACTCAGTACTCTGCTCTTTCCTTCTTTTTTTTTTTTTTTTTTTTTTTAAAGTAGTTCCACTTCTCAGGTTCCTTCACCACCTCCCACATTTATATCCTTAGAAACAAAAATTATCATATTTATTGATCACCTACCATGTGTCAAATCCTTTCCTGGGTGATGGAGGATACAGCAATTGAGATGGATGAGATCCCTGTTAGGCCCCTGTATCTTGGCTTTCTCTTTTTTAGTGGGGATATGAATTGATTGCCACCCCACCTTTGTCTATCAAGGGCTCTAGCTATCCTCTTTCAACCTCTACTCCCCCTTCATCTCTCTGTTGCCCTGGCTTCCTGGCCCCCCACTTTGGGGGCAGCCCTAAATGTGGGTGGCTGTATCCTCTGAAGAAGCACTAGTCACCATGTAGGCTGCTTGGAGACCTTTTCTCTGATTGGTTATGAAAACACCTGGCATTGTTTCCATTCACGACTCCTATTGGCTCTGGCTGTCCCTTGCATTGTCGGCATCTTCCCTCCACCCACTCATCCCCCAGTCACACGTGGACCCTCAATTGACTTCCTCCCAGGATTTGAGTGTCAGAGGAAGGCGTTGGTTCATTATGTATGATGACAAGATTGAGGAGGAGAACCCAGGAAAGGCCAAGCGAGGTTTCTGTCTCCCCTTCCTCTCAGGGTCCAGCCAGCTCATCTAGCTTCATCCAGGTCCCAGGGTCTACGTTCTCACCTCGGGGCAGGCCAAGATGTTCTGCTGGTTAATCCCGGAAGTAGACATCTCTTGAGTACCTACTGTGGCTTGGAGGCATTTTCCCTGAAGAGGGACAGCTTACTTCCTCTTATTTCCTTCCTTTATTCACTGTGCAAAGCGTCCTGCATCCATCCATTGGCTGGGCGGTGTCTGGGGCCCTTCAGCCCAGCTCCAGCGCCCAGGTCCACGTGCGCCGGTGTGTGTGACACAGCCCTGACCTCAGTGGGGGCCAGTAGCCAATCAGGGGCCGGGAAGAGATCCCCAGCCAATCGGGGGCGGGGCCGACAGCTCTGCGGGCAGGGGGCCAATGAGGGGCAGTGCCTGGCATTATGCAACCCGCCTCCTAGCCTCGCGGAGGTTCTACTCCGCAGAGGGCTGAAACAGCAGCGGGCAGGCAGCTGGAAGGCGCTCGCACCGCCAGGTAGGAATCTCCGTCGCCACCCTAGCCAGTCTCTGTTCTCGAGTCAGGCCGCCGCCACTTCCAATCTGATAGGACACTCAACCCGGGCACTCAGCACAACAGCAGTCCGCCTTCCTTGTGGCTGTTCGCTGGGACCTAGGTGCTCCTCTCAACCCTGCACCGGGTGTCCACACTCCTGACCCTTTCATATTATCTCCACCTTTGCTCCCCGGTCCCAGCCACCCTGACCCCACAACAGAACCTCAGTGGGCATGTCCCATGTCTCCTTTATTATCATACAGGGCTCCCCAGGTTTGCCTTGGCCCCAGGACCTCTTCAGGCTTTTGGAGCTCCTTGCCCTCCCCCTTCCAATCCCTGGCCTCAAGCCGGCCGTGATGTCAGCCCGCTTCAGGCTGGAACATCCCGTTCCCGGTGCTAGTTCCTGCTGTTAGCCAAAGCCTTCCCTTTTTCTTCTGGCGCTCAGAAAATGCTCGGGATGGGGGTGTGGTTGGACGGGGAGCAGAGGAAGAACTATCTGTTGGCTGTTTAGCGTCCCCTGCTCCAGGCTTGGAATGCGGGGAGGGGGAGGGGCGGCTGGAAAAGTAGGGAACTGAGGGGAGAGGATTCCTGGGTCCTTGATAATGGCAGGTGCCTGGCTTCAGTCCGGCGGTCCGGAGGGGGGTCAGGAGCCAGAGAAAGAAAGGATGTACCGTAGTGCCATAATGACTGGGATCCAGGCGCTAGCCAGGTTGGGGGGCTTTTTCGCGGAGTGGCAGAGGCGGTTGTGTTTGATTCTAGGGAGGCCTGGACCAGCCCCTGGAATCTCTCTAGGCTATTCCTCTTCATAGGGCTGTCCGGGGACTTGGGTTATTTTAGGGTGGGCGACCCCGGGCTGTGACCGCCAGTGGGGGAGTGGGTCGTTCCCTCACTTCTGCGGGGGTGGGGGGGATATGGGGGAGGGTCGCCCCTCCCTTGCTGCCTTGGTCCCTCCAGCAACCGCTGAGCTCAGCGGCTGACGTCGGTTTCCCTGGCTACCGAGGCGGCGGAAGCGCTCGGGAAGCGCGTGGTGGGGCCGAGCACTTCGTTGCGCATGTGCAGCGGGAGTAGTGCCGCCCCGGATAAAATTAGCCCGGAAGCCTAAATTTAGGAGGCGTTCGGCTAGTTTTCTGGCTCTGCGGTCTTGGAGTCCCAGACTGACTTGGAACTTGATGGGAACTTGGGAATGGGAAAGGTCCAGGTATTGGTCCATAGCCATAGGTCTAGTCGACTGCTCAGGCTCTGTTTACCCACGCCATAATGGCTAGGGAAGTGGAGAATAGTTTTGACTCTTTCCACCTGTAGCACCCGTGTGGGGATAGGAAACAGAAATATCTTGGCCCCCCATTGGGAGCCCCAGGCAGGGGAGGGTCGCATAATGTCAGAGTTCTGTGATGTTAATAGTCCAGCTTTTTCCAAACCTTCCTTCCTGTTCTCCCCCTTCAGGTACTGGCTGTGAACGAACTTCTCAAACTTCAGAAACACTTCTTCCACCTCACTCACAAGCCAGGCCTCAAGGCCACCTTGTTCAACCGTTGTGGCCTCTGCACCTTCCCTGTTCTCCTGTCCTTCCCATGGCCCAGACATGAGTGATCCCCTAGAAGAGGCTGATGGGGGAAGGGACCCCAGGCCCGGCGAATCCTTTTGTCCTGGGGGAGTCCCATCCCCTGGACCCCCACAGCACCGGCCTTGCCCAGGCCCCAATCTGGCTGATGACACTGATGCCAATAGCAATGGCTCAAGTGGCAATGAGTCCAATGGGCATGAATCCAGGGGTGCATCTCAACGGAGTTCACATAGCTCCTCCTCTGGCAATGGCAAGGACTCGGCCCTTCTGGAGACCACTGAGAGCAGCAAGAGGTATGTATGTATTTTTGTGTGCTGCAAAATCTGGGAGTATTTTGTGAATGAACTGAGGTAGGTAATAGGCTTCATGCTGCTAGTCACCTGCCCCTCATTTTGGGCTGTTGCTTCTTCTCCAGCACAAACTCTCAGAGCCCATCCCCACCCAGCAGTTCCATTGCCTACAGCCTCCTGAGTGCCAGCTCAGAGCAGGACAACCCATCTACCAGTGGCTGCAGGTTTGTGGGGGTGAGGGCTGGGGGAGAGATCTGGAGGCCTGGGCCACACTCTTGGACTAATGTCTTTCCCACTCCTTTTCCATGGGCCCTGCAGCAGTGAACAGTCAGCTAGGGCAAGGACTCAGAAGGAACTCATGACAGCACTTCGGGAGCTCAAGCTTCGACTGCCACCAGAGCGTCGGGGTAAAGGCCGTTCTGGGACCCTGGCCACACTACAGTATGCACTGGCTTGTGTCAAGCAGGTGCAGGGTGAGTGATGTTTCTTAGGAGGAAATGCCAGGGCTTAGATCATTGTGGGGGATCAGTCTTCTTACTGAACCACACATGTGCTCTCACCTTGCAGCCAACCAGGAATACTACCAGCAGTGGAGCCTGGAGGAGGGTGAGCCATGTGCCATGGATATGTCCACTTACACCCTGGAGGAGCTGGAGCACATCACATCTGAGTATACACTTCGCAACCAGGTCTGTAGTAGCCTGGCTCCTCTATCCAATATACTCCCATCCCGCTCCCACAGCTCCTAATCCGTTCTTATTCTTACCCTCCTGCTAGGATACCTTCTCGGTGGCTGTCTCCTTCCTGACAGGCCGAATTGTATACATTTCGGAGCAGGCAGGAGTTCTGCTGCGTTGCAAGCGGGATGTATTTCGGGGTGCCCGCTTCTCAGAGCTCCTGGCTCCCCAGGATGTGGGTGTCTTCTATGGCTCCACGGCCCCATCTCGTCTACCCACTTGGGGCACTGGGGCCTCTGCAGGTGAGGTGCCCATGTGCTTGTGGGGAGGGATGAGCAGCCCCAGGATGCTTTTGCTGGGAGGGTCAGGGGACCAGCCCCAGGATACTTTTGCTGGGAGGGTCAGGGGACCCAAGCTTTCCCATGATGGGTTCTTCTTAGCCCAGGTAAGAGATAGGAAATGTGCTCAGTGCTTTTCTCATCTGTCCCAGGTTCAGGCGTCAAGGATTTTACCCAGGAGAAGTCTGTTTTCTGCCGTATCAGGTAGGTGGGGCAAGTAGTAGTAGGCCTCTCTTTCTTAATCCTCCCCATATCTTTGCTGTGTGGGCCATGACCTTGAGGGGCCAGTGACTTTCCATTGCAAGTCCCTAATACTTTTCTCTACTTTGCTAGAGGAGGTCCTGACAGAGATCCAGGGCCTCGGTATCAACCATTCCGCCTAACTCCATATGTGACCAAGATCCGGGTCTCAGATGGGGCCCCTGCACAGCCGTGCTGCTTGCTCATTGCAGAACGCATCCACTCGGGTTATGAAGGTAGGTGGGCTAGGTCCCTGGCCTGGTGGGGAGTAGGAGGAAGGGTTTTTCTCTAGGCTTTGGTTAGGTTACAGGATGTAGGACTGGGAGGCACCAGCCAGGTCTTTAGAAATTTGGAACAGAAGGTGGTATTATTAGGAGAAGGGGTTGACTCCTTTTTGGTTGTTGGGTTGGATAAGGGCTTTGAGCTGGGGCAGAGTGAAGAAACTTTGGTGGTTTTCAGTGTTATTACTAGTACAAGGCACAAGAATGGCCCAGAGCCTTTTAGTGGGCCAAAGCCCCTGGAGCTAACTGCCAGGAGGCCATCCTGGCCCCAGGTAGAGAGGAGGGCTGAGGAGCTGGACCATTCTGGGTGAAGCCCAACAGCAACACATTCTGTGCCATAGCTCCCCGTATCCCCCCTGACAAGAGGATTTTCACCACGCGTCACACACCAAGCTGCCTCTTCCAGGATGTGGATGAAAGGTAGGGTCAGCACCTGGATGGAAGGGAGTGGCTAGGTCTGAGGTCATAGCTATTCTGACACCTCTTCCCATTGCAGGGCTGCTCCGCTGCTGGGCTACCTACCCCAGGACCTCCTGGGGGCACCAGTGCTTTTGTTCCTGCATCCTGAGGACAGACCACTCATGCTGGCCATCCATAAGAAGAGTAAGTTTCTCTCAGCTTGTTCTCCTTTCCTGGCTATCTCTTGGGCTTTTTCACTGCTCTCATGGTGGTATCTCATGGGTGCCTTGGTCTCTTGGATCTCCAGTGGGGTGGCCCTTTACCTTGCTCATCTCTCCCTCCCACTAACCACCCCACCTCATTTGTCACTCCCATTAGTCCTACAGCTGGCAGGCCAACCCTTTGACCACTCCCCTATTCGCTTCTGTGCCCGTAATGGGGAGTACGTCACCATGGACACCAGCTGGGCTGGCTTCGTGCACCCCTGGAGCCGTAAGGTGGCCTTTGTGTTGGGCCGCCACAAAGTACGCACGTAAGTGGGTCATTTAGATAACTTTGGGGGTGGGGAAGTGTGGGAGGGGGCAGGGCTGAAGACTGGACTGGGGACACATGACTGGACTCAACTTTCTGAATTCCGCAGGGGACCCCTGAATGAGGATGTGTTCACTCCTCCAGCTCCCAGTCCAACTCTGTCCCTGGACTCTGATATCCAGGAGCTCTCAGAGCAGATCCATCGGCTACTGTTGCAGGTAAGAGCTGAAGAGGGGGGCTTGAGAGGCATGAAGAGGGTGGAAAGCAGACCGTAGATATCTAACCTGTCCTTCTCTCTGCCACAGCCCGTGCACAGCTCCAGCCCCACAGGACTCTGTGGAGTTGGCCCCTTGATGTCCCCAGGCCCTCTCCACAGCCCTGGCTCCTCCAGTGATAGCAACGGCGGTGATGCTGAGGGGCCTGGACCACCTGTTCCAGTGAGTGACCCTCTCCAGTTCACCTAATTGCCTGATCTCCTGTCCTTCTTGGAGTCAGCATTGCCGTACCCAGAGCTTTTCCTTATGCCCCACTCCCTCTTGCTTCCTTCCTTTCTTTGTCTGTTCCTGTCCAGGCCTCATGCTTTTTCACTGATACCTTTTATTTTATTTCATCCTTGGTTTCTGGTACTAGGTAGGTACCCTAGTATGCCCACTGCTCTGCTGTGCCCACAGGTGACTTTCCAGCAGATCTGTAAGGATGTGCATCTGGTGAAGCACCAGGGGCAGCAGCTTTTCATTGAGTCCCGGGCCCGGCCTCCACCCCAGCCTCGCCTCCCTGGTGAGTTGGTGATACTGTGGGGAGGAGTGAGGAGGGAGACCTGAGGATCCCCTCTCCCTCACCGCAGACCCATTTACCTTTTTCCCTCCTTGTGCCAGCTACAGGCACATTCAAGACCAAGGCCCTTCCTTGCCAGTCCCCAGACCCAGAGCTGGAGGCAGCCCCTGCTCTGACCCAGGCTCCACCTCCCTTGGTCCCTGAGGAGGCTGAGAGGAAAGAAGCCTCCAGCTGTTCCTACCAGCAGATCAACTGCCTGGACAGCATCCTCAGGTAAGGCATGTCTGGCACCTTCCCCCCTCAGCCCTTGGTCTGCCCCACCCCAGGCCTTGCCCTGATGTTCCTGCTGCATCTCCACAGGTACCTGGAAAGCTGCAACATCCCCAGCACAACCAAGCGTAAATGCGCTTCCTCCTCCTCCTATACTGCCTCCTCAGCCTCTGATGATGACAAGCAGAGGACAGGTCCAGTCCCCATAGGGGCCAAGAAAGGTAATGACCCCCAGTACATGCCCAGCTCCCATTGCCCTGTCCTGGCCCAGTGGTCCTGGGTCTCTATACTTCTGCCATGGGGGCCCCCACCTCGCTCTGCCCTGCCCTCTTTCTTTGCCTCTCTATCTTCAAACTCCTCCCTATTGTCCCTCTGTCTTCCTCCTCCCTGGGAACCCCTCTTCTGACCTCCCAGTGGGGTAGGGGTGGTAACCAGTACCATCTCTCTGCACAGATCCATCATCAGCAGTGCTGTCTGGGGAGGGGGCCGCTCCACGGAAGGAGCCAGTGGTGGGAAGCACCTTGAGCCCGCTCGCCCTGGCCAATAAGGCGGAGAGCGTGGTGTCCGTGACCAGTCAGTGTAGCTTCAGCTCCACCATCGTCCATGTGGGAGACAAGAAGCCCCCGGAGTCGGGTATGGGCGTGGAGTGAGGGGGGCATTGCCTGGGCTCCACTTGATCCCCCAGCCAGAGTTCCTTCTTACCTTCCTTTTCCCTGCCCTTCTCCCTCCATCCCCAGTGGAGAGAAGAAGGCCTCCCTCTTAGCTTGGGGCTACTGCTGCTTATTTTCCACCAGCCCCTGCTACTTGCCCCTCCCTTATTCTGCTTTCTTTTTTTACTGTCAGTTGAAATAAAAATATGGAATATGGAAGGGGGTTCAGCCCCAGGGTACTGACCACAGAGGTCAGAGGCAAGGAATGTTGAAGTTCCCTAAAGGGTCTTTAAGTATTGACTTCAAAAATGTATGAAGAAAGGGCAAGGGGTGGGTTTCATTTCCAACAAGCTGTGATGGTGTCATCCCTAGGGGTTCCTGGCATGGTAGTGGCCACTGGAAGGGATTGAGTATCTCTCTGTCCTGGAACAACTTTGCATGGAGAGGTGGGCCTTTGGCCAGCCCTCAGCAGAGAGGTGGCCAGGAAATGCACATGGGCCAAGGCTTGGCTAGGGTAGAAGGCCGGGGTGGGTGGGGTCATTGCACAGGGAGGGTGTGATGTGGATGTGTTGCCCCCTGAGATGGTTCTGATGTCCCTTCTCCATCTCACTTTCCTTAGACATCATCATGATGGAGGAACTGCCTGGCCTAGCTCCAGGCCCAACCCCCAGCCCGGCCCCCAGCCCCACAGTAGCCCCTGACCCAGCCCCAGATGCCTACCGCCCAGTGGGCCTGACCAAGGCCGTGCTGTCCCTGCACACACAGAAGGAAGAGCAAGCCTTCCTCAACCGCTTCCGAGACCTTGGCAGGCTGCGTGGACTTGACAACTCTTCCACGGCCCCCTCGGCCCCTGGCGAGCGAGGTAGTCACCTGGGGCTTCCCTGAGCTGCTCTCTGCCCAGACTAGGGCCAGACGGTTGCATGGTGGGCATTGAGGGAGATGTGCCTGCTCCAGGGACCCAGGCTGGTGCTGCCTTCACCACCAGGGCCCTGTCTAGGGACAGGCCCCTCGCTAGCCTCTCCCCCTTAGGCTGGGGTTCCGGGCTGCAGCCAGAGGAGGGCAACCTGGGGGGCTGGCACTGAGACAGGAGGGCAGAGGTGCTCTGTTCCAGGTAAGCTACTTCAGGCCTATCCTAGGGGCAGGAAGTATGCTCATCTAGGTCTCAGATGTTGCTGATTAAGAGATCTGCGCAGACTCTGGGTCAACTCCCAGTGGGGTTGGAGCTTCAAGGGCAGATGAAGGGCAGCCCCTCCAGGGGCCTGAGGGAGGTCCTGTGCAGATGGATACAGGACTGAGGGCTCAGTCCTGGGGTTTCCCACCCACCTCTTCACTCCACTGCAAGCCAGACAGCACAGCCTCGACTGGCAGGAGGAGGACCTAGGCTGGCAGTGCCTGCGGGATTTTGGCAAATGGACTGGAGCTGCCTTCCTTTTCGTCTGTGGACCTACTCTGCCTCCTCCCATCTGCCAGTGTGCCTCTGTCCTTTGCACATCCCCATCTTGACCCCTCATGTAACCTTGACTTTCCCTGGCTCCTTTCTCAATAAACCCCCCTCTCCCTGGCTCCTGTGATTCTTCCCTGAAGGTGCCCCTACCTCCTGAGTCCCTTCTGATCTGTCATGCCTGAGAAGCTCTTTCTGGGGCCTTTCCCTGCCCTCTCCCTGGTCAATGTGTCAGGGCAGTGGGAGTGGCAGGAGCACTAACTGCCAGGCTGAGGCCCTCACTAACCCTAGTCTTTCCCCACAGGCTGCCACCATGGCCCAGCACCCCCCAGCCGCCGACACCACTGCCGATCCAAAGCCAAGCGCTCACGCCACCACCAGACCCCACGGGCCGAAGCCCCCTGCTATGTCTCCCACCCCTCACCTGTGCCCCCCTCTGGCCCCTGGCCCCCTCCTCCAGCCACCACTCCTTTCCCAGCAGTGGTCCAGCCTTACCCACTCCCAGTGTTCTCCCCACGGGAAAGTCCCCAGCCTCTTCCTCCTGCTCCCACATCTGTGCCCTCTGCCACTTTCCCTACCCCCTTAGTAACTCCAATGGTGGCTTTGGTGCTCCCTAACTATCTGTTCCCGACTACATCTAGCTATCCCTTTGGGGTACCTCAGACACCAGCTGAGGGGCCTCCCACCCCTGCCTCCCACTCACCCTCCCCATCCCTGCCCCCACTTCCTCCCAGTCCCCCACGCCGCCCAGACTCCCCACTGTTCAACTCAAGATGCAGTTCCCCACTCCAGCTCAATCTGCTGCAACTTGAGGAGCCCCCCCGTCCTGAGGGGGGCACTGTTGCAGGGGGTCCTGGGAGCAATGCTGGGCTCCCACCTCCTAGTGAGGAGGCCGCTGAGCCTGAAGCCAGATTGGTGAGCTTTCACCCCATATGCCTTGCTACCAGTCCCCGACCCTTAGCCCTTGTCCCTCTTCCCCCTGGTGCTACTTCCTGCCCTAGTCGGCTGGTGTCTCGGCTTCTTGGAGATGGGAGACGGGGCAGGAAATCCTAGCTGAATTTCTAAATGAGGCAGAAATGGGTTGCCACCCCCATGAAGGGACAGTCTTGTCTCTCTGACAGGTGGTGAGGACATCTCAATAAGTGCTGAAAGGGCATTTGCCACTTGGAAAGGGTCTGGTGTCACATCCCCTACCCTTTGTTAGCTTTCCTGTCTCAGTTTGGCCCTGTGTCATGGAATGGGGAGCAGAACTCTTGGTTGGATGTTCCTCCCCTGACCCCTCCAGTAGAAGTAGTTGAAGGGAAGCCCAGTTGCTAACCCCTTAACCCCTCCTTCAGGTGGAGGTAACTGAATCCTCCAATCAGGATGCACTCTCTGGCTCCAGTGATCTGTTGGAACTGCTACTGCAAGAGGACTCGCGTTCTGGTACAGGCTCTGCAGCCTCAGGCTCCCTTGGCTCTGGCTTGGGCTCTGGATCAGGTTCAGGCTCCCATGAGGGTGGCAGCACCTCAGCCAGCATCACCCGTGAGTGCCCACCTTCCAACACCTCTGGGATTAGGACAGTAACTGGGGAGTTGGTAAACCAGGCCTCATCTAGGCTGAGCTTGCCAAGGACAATGGGCTGAGTGTGTGACCTTTGAGGGTGGTATGATGAGGCCCTGGGTTGGACATGCTGACTAGACTGGCTCCACTGGCCTGCCCCCTGCTCCATAGGCAGCAGTCAGAGCAGCCACACGAGCAAGTACTTCGGCAGCATTGACTCTTCGGAAGCTGAAGCTGGAGCTGCTCAGGCCAGGGCTGAGCCTGGGGACCAGGTCATTAAGTATGTGCTCCAGGATCCCATCTGGCTGCTTATGGCCAATGCTGACCAACGTGTTATGATGACCTACCAGGTGCCCTCCAGGTGAGTTTCAGAGGCCACTTCTGCCTCCCTCTCAGAGGTAGTAGGGAGACTGGCTTTCCTTCATTGCCCAGAAAACTTGGGGTTCCCTTTCCTGGAATGGCTCCGACCTGGATGTTCCCATACTACCCTCAGTCCCTTGGAGCCTTACCGTAGTTCTTTCAACCTGAGAGCAGGTTGACTGAACTTGGAAGGTACCTGTGGTTCAGGAGAGGAGCAGAAGACCGTGGGTGGGGGCTTTGGTAGAGGAAAAACATCAACTGGTCCTGGCCTGGATCCCAGCCTCTGCCTTCTGAAACCTTTCCTTGTGCAGGGACATGGCATCTGTGCTAAAGCAGGACCGAGAGCGGCTTCGAGCCATGCAGAAGCAGCAGCCTCGGTTCTCAGAGGACCAGCGGCGGGAACTGGGTGCTGTGCACTCCTGGGTCCGCAAGGGACAGTTGCCTCGGGCCCTTGATGTGATGGTGAGAAAAAAAAAATGAGGGATAGAGGCTAATGGCTGTCCTTATTGTCCTTGGATCTTTGATTCTGAAGGATGTTAATCCCACTAAATTTACTGCCAAGTTATATGGTATTAGACCACATGAGCTTTTGCAGAACCTTTCTGAACCCCCTCCCATGCTAATGTACATTGTAACTGTCCCATGGGGAGTCTGGGTGGAGCGCAAAAGGCATTTTCCAAGCTTGTTGGATCCCAGGTGCATCCCAGGACTGGTTTCTTGGGAGCACACTTTGGGAAATACCACAGGGTTGGGTGGGAAATTGGGCTGTTGATTAGCAGTGAGGACTCTGCCTAACTCACTTATCCCTTTCTCCTTCCAAGGCCTGTGTGGACTGTGGTAGCAGCTCCCAAGACCCTGGCCACTCTGATGACCCACTTTTCTCGGAGCTGGATGGACTGGGGCTGGAGCCCATGGAGGAGGGTGGAGGCGAGGGTGGCAGCAGTGGTGGTGGTGGTGATGGTGATGGTGGCATTGGTGAGGGTGGCGAGGAGGCCCAGGCCCAAGTTGAGGCCAAGGTCTCAAGCTCTCAGGACTCTGCCATGGAGGAGGAGGAACAAGGTGGGAGCTCGTCCAGTCCAGCCTTATGTGCAGCAGAAAATGGCACCAGCTAAACTCCATTTTGGGGCCACTTCCTGAAGTCCATGCAAGGCATCCTTCTTCAATGTTACAATTCTCAGAACTCAGATGTGGCTGGACCAACCAATAGAAAACTGCCCCAGCTTCTCCCACCTTAGGGAGTGGGACCCCCATCACCAGCCTGGGATCCAAAGGCTGCCTCTGGCTTCTTAGTGAACAGAGGGTGGAACTTTTCAGGCCAGCCAAGAGGAGGGTCACCTCCCACCCCTGGTGGAGGCCCTTCTGGATAAGGTTGCTGACCCACTGCTGAAATGGGCTCGCCAAATCCCAGCTGAGCCTGAGTCCCAGTCCCGAGGTTTGGGGCTGCACTTATTTATTGGGGGAGACAGCTCTCTCTCCCACCTCCTCCCTAAGTGGGGGGAGGGGAGCCTGGGGCCCAAGGAGGACCCAGGGGTTTGAACCCCTAGCTGCTCCAGGGTGGGGGAGGTTGGTGGACCATGGAGTCCCTGGTGCTGCCCCTCAGGTGGGACCCAGGCGTTCTCAGCTCTACCCTCTACCAATGGCATTTGTGTTTTTGATATTGTGTCTGTTATTATTTTTTTAATACAAAAAGAAAGAAATCAAAACCCCAGGACTTTGTGAAATGAAGTTTGGGGTTTGGGTGAGGGGAGAAATGGCTCTGCTTCCAGGAGGGTTGTAGTGAGGGTGGCCACTTCCATCTCACGCCACTGTATGAACCTGTTCCTCTCTCCTGCACATACCTTCATTTGAAGGGCCCTACTGAGACAGCTAAATCTATACCTAACTCAGAACTCTCTACTCACCTCTACCATTACTTCCGCTGGGTTTGTCCTGGGAAGTAAAAGGACCTGGGCAAGCTTCAACCATGGGTCACGGTGTTAGGGGCTGGAGGAAGCCCTCTTAACCCTGCGGTGCCCTGAGGCAGTAGAGAGTTTAACTTTTATTTTAGTATCTTGGTCATCACACAGGAGATTAGATAACTAAGGCACATTGAGTAAGGTACCCATTCAAGGAGGGTGGAGCGGGGCTCAACCTGAAAAGGAAATCACTGGAATTCCATTAAAATTGGGAGTGGTTCACCACGTGCTGGAGCCCACTAACACCTGATCTATCGCGAGGCACAACCCATGCTTCGGTGGCGCCGTGGCTTAGCTGGTTAAAGCGCCTGTCTAGTAAACAGGAGATCCTGGGTTCGAATCCCAGCGGTGCCTGACCCAGTGAGTGTAGGGTATATTATTGCTGCGATGAGAATGAATAACCCCCGTCTTGCAAACGCTTTCTGTCGCACCCTGTCAAGAAATTCTTCTTACCAAGTTAATACCTCTTTGGGATTCTGTTCCCGTGCACTTTTAGTGTGTATTTGGAGACTAAAACAATCCTTAATTATCGCCTTGGAAATCCATAATCCGTGGCCCTCTCGTCCCATTATCTTCCCCCAAGGACGTGGGGAACAACTCTGACTTGGGCTTGTTTTGTTGAGGACATACTGTGACTGCAGGAGGGGAGGCAAGTCAAGGGAAGCTACCACTGCAACCCCGATGCTAACTTGGTCAAGGCGGGAATCCACGCCTCATCCTGGGCGCACGCGCGCAGTCATCTCCAGCCAGAAGGACGAGGCGGGCAGGAGGCGGGCACGTTGATAGGCAGCTATAGTTGCGCAGGCCCGAGGCCGCACGCGGCTGTGATGGCCGAGTGGTTAAGGCGTTGGACTCGAAATCCAATGGGGTCTCCCCGCGCAGGTTCGAATCCTGCTCACAGCGTTGGTAATTTTGGCAGTGGGTATGGCCTCCTCTAAAGGAGGTAACTAGTTTGTTTTCTAGGCCTTTCCTTCCCTTGAAGAAGCTTCCCAAAGTCTTGAGAAGATCACAGGTAATCAACCCCGGACCAGCCTGCCAGCGCCCTCTTCCGAGGCTCAGCCTCCTACCAACGTGCAAAAGCCTTTTTATGGCCAATTTCGATTCATAATTCAATTTTCGATTTCTTGTTGCTACTAAGCAATTAGATTACATTTCCCTAATCCGTTCAGCCTCCTTCTGATCTATACGACTATTTCATTTCTTCTCTCACTACAGCCACGATTCTCTTCATCTCTCTTCTGCTTTACCTCCCGTGTCACTGAGAAAATAAAGCATTCTGAACAATTTCCCACGGAAATCCTCAACCCCGCTACTTACCTACCCACCTGCCTAAGCCTGACCACAGACTTCCTTTCCCTCTAGGACCTGTAGGAGAACCCTTCCACTGAACTATGGAACCTCTAGACCTATTAGATTTCCCACCCTCTTGGGCCCACTCAAGAACATTGCTTTTTTCCTATACCATCAAATTTCCCTCTCTCCTGGATTTTCCTACCAGACATTGTAATTTCTCTCATTTAGAACAATCAAGACAACAAAACCCATCTACTGAGACTTAAACGCGTCCCCCAGAAGTGCACGTGTTGGAACCTCAATCCCCAATTTCACATGTTGATTGGAGGTGGGGTCTTTGGGAGGTAATTAGGATTAGAGAAGGTCATGAGATTGGGGTCCCAACAGTGACATTAGTAGCTTTATAAAAAGAGGAAGAGAACCATCGCGGCCTAGGAGCACACTTGCTCATTTGCTGTCTCACCATATGATGGCCCTCAACAGATTGCCCAGCAGATGCCAATGCCACACTCTTGCACTTCCCAGCCTCCCAAACCATGAGCTAAATAAAACTTTATAAATTATCCAGTCCATGTTATTGAGGGATAGTAACAGAAAACAGACTCTATCTTGTCACCACACGCTCCTCCAACTACCACTTAATTTCTCTGCTCCTCTCTACAACAAGCATAATAAGATATACTGTCTCCAGCCTCCCATTCTATGGTGAGCCCTCTCCAACCAGGTGTTCTTTCCTACACCAAGGCTTCCCTGGTTAGGGTTACTTACCAAATGACCATCACATTGCTAAATCCATCCATCTCTAAACTAGTTAGCAACACTTGACACAGATGCCTCTCTCTTTTCTTGGGGTGCTAGGAACTGAAGCCAGCCCTTGTACTCAGGGGAGTGCTCTACCACTGAGCTATAGCTACAGCCCCAGTCCTGTACTCTCTTTTAGTAATACACTCTTCTCTGGCCTTGTAGGCCACCACACCCCTCTGATATTCCTTCTTCACTAGCAGCTTGATCACAGACTCCTTTGCTGGTTTCTCGTCAGCTGCATCTCTAAATGTTTGGTTCCAAAGCTCAGTCTTTCAACTGAATCTTTTCTCTACCTGTACTCACTACCTTGGTGATCTCCAGACCTGTGGCTAAATCATCCCACATTTGCATCTCTAACTCCAGAACGTTCCCCTGAATTACAGATGCTTCTTTCCTGTTGCCCATTTGTCACCTACACTTAGATATCTAGTAGGAACCACTAACTTAAAATGTGTAAATTCTACTCCTGGCCTTCTCCCCAAAAGCTGCTTCATCTGTAGTCTTTCCATTTGAAATTCCAATCCCTCAACTGGTTAGACTAAAATCTCCATAATCATCCCCGATTCTTCTTTTTCTCACACTCCACATTTAATCAGTCTGCAGTTTCTTTTCAAAATGTGTCAAAAATCTGACTACTTGTCACTACATTCACCACTCTGCCCTGGTCCAAACCACTCTCCACTCTCACTTAGATTATTGCAAGATCAGCTAAATTATTTCCTGGTTTCCATTCTTATCCCTAGTTCCACGATGGTGTGTTCGTAACACATTAGGCAGAGAGGTTGATCCTTATAAAAAAATGAATAAGACTCTGTCATTCCTCTCCTAATTTCCCAAAGGGGGAAAATCATTTTTTCCAATGGGGATGTCAATGTGAATTAATGGTTTTAATGTGCATATAGGTATAGAAATAAATGTATACACACACACACACACACACACACACACACACCCTAGCTCTGAACACTGAGTGAGTCTAGAAGCAATCATACACCAGTAGCAATGAGCACACCAAGAGCCTCCATCTTAGCTACCAAATACTGTTCTCTACTGAAATGAACTTGGAGAAAAGGTTGATTCCAGCCCTGAATCTGGAGAATTATAAGATTATTTTGAGACATTTTGTTGCAACAGAAAGCAAAGAAGTGCTCAAAGAATAAATATCAAAAAGATACAGTACCAAGGGGCTACAGCAGGCTGGGTTCCAGTGGCCCCTACCTGCAATCCCAGCAATTTCAGCAATCCCAGTGACTGGGAAGTTTGAGGCAGGAGAATAACAAGTTCATAGGCCAGCCTGAGTAATTTAGCAAGACTCTTAGCAACTTAAACCCTTTCTCAAAATAAAAAATAAAGTGATCTGTGGATATAGTTCAGGGGTAAAGTGTCCCTGGTTTCAATCTCCAGCACTGAAAAAAGAAAAGAAAAAATGTTAGGGTTCTTTTGTAGAAGAGGACTCTTCACAGCTTCTGGCCCTTGTCTGCCTGGGTCTCCTCTCTTAATTTTTTTTTGTTTATTTGTTTTGGTACTGGGGGTTGAAAGCAGGGGGCTGCACCAATGAGCTATATCCCCCAGCCTCCCTCTTTCTTTCTTTCTTTCTTTCTTTCTTTCTTTCTTTCTTTCTTTCTTTCTTTCTTTCTTTCTTTCTTTCTTTCTTCCTTCCTTCCTTCCTTCCTTCCTTTCTTTCTTTCCTTCTTTCTTTCTTCCTTCCTTCCTTCCTTCCTTCCATCCTTCCTTCCTTTCTCTCTCTCTCCCTCTCTTTCCACCCTTATTTATTTATTTTTACATAGTACCAAGGATCAAACCCAGTGCCTCACAAATGTAGGCAAGCACTCCACCAGTGAGCTACAACCACTGTCCCATCCCTGGTCCTTTTACTTTTCATTTTGAGACAGGGTCTCTCTGAGTGGCCCAGAGTAGCCCAGAATTTACAATTCTCCTTTCTCAGCCTCCAAAGTAACTGGGATCACATGTAAACCCACCACACCCAGCTCTCCTCTTAGTTTTGACTCCTACCTAAGGTAAGTAGAGAGAGACAGGACAACAAAAGTTTGCCTGGTGGGCTTAGAAATCTCTCTCGATTCAGCCCTTGGCTCAGGACACTAGTCCTTCTACTTCCCAGTCCCCACCCTCCACACTCTCCTACCCAGGACCCAGGGGGTCCCAGGAAACTAGCCTTCCCTTTGAAGAACTGAAGAGGGAGGAGCAGAGCCCTGAAACCCAGGCTTGAGGAGAAGCACAGTAGGAGAGGGGAAGCTGGATCACTTCACCAGCTGTCTCTGTTCCTTCCCACCCTCTGCTGCCCCATCACATGTGGGACTCCAGCTCTCCTCCCCAAGCCCCAGTGTAGCCCACTGTTGGAGGGCAGCCAGGGAAAGACCACTGTGTTTACAGACATAGGCCCTTGCTAACAGAGCCATTTAAAGCCACTTGGAAACACACCCTCCCCAACAGACACCCTCACACACATACACAGTGGGGACAGGAATAGGGGGCATCCTCAGAGGCCATGTCTGGACCTGAGATTACCCAGTCCATTCAACTCATTTTACCCTGCAGCAGCTCTTGGTTTTTAAAGATTTTTTTTTTTTTAGTTGTAGATGAACACAATACCTTTAATTATTTATTTTTATGTGGTGCTGAGGATGGAACCCAGTGCCTCACATGTCTTGGCAAATGCTCTACCACTGAGCTACAACCCCAGCTCCAGCTCTAGATTTTGAGGGCCTGAAACTTGCTGCATCATCATCATCATCATCATCATCATAAACAGGTATAAAAACTAGCATTTAGAATAAAACAAAAGCACAACAATTTACCAATTTAAAAGGTTAATAAATAGCTGGATGAAATGGTGTGCTCCTGTCATCCCAGCTACTTGGAAGACTAAGGTGGGAGAATTGCTTGGGCCCAAGAGGTAGAGATCAGCCTGGGCAACATACCAAGGTCAAGTATCAAAATAATAATGAGCTGGGTGCAGTGACACATGCTTGTAATTTCAGCAGCTCAGGAGGCTGAGGCAGGAGGATCGAGAATTCAAAGCCATAGGGCCGAGGGATGGGAGGGGGAAGGGAGAGGATGGGGGTTAGAAATGATGGTGGAATGTGATGAACATCATTATCCAAAGTACATGTAAGAAGACACAAATTGGTGTGAATATACTTTATATACAACCAGAGATATGAAAAATTGTGCTCTATATGTATAATATGAATTATAATGTATTCTGCAGTCATATGTTAAAAAAATAATAAATAGGGGCTGGGGATGTGGCTCAAGCGGTAGCGCGCTCGTCTGGCATGCGTGCGGCCCGGGGTCGATCCTCAGCACCACGTACAAACAAAGATGTTGTGTCCGCCGAAAAACTAAAAATAAATAAATAAATTCTCTCTCTCTCTCTCTCTCTCTCTCTTAAAAAAAAAATAAATAAATAAAAAGAATTCAAAGCCAGCCTTAGCAATTTAGCAAGGCCCTAAGACCCTCCCTGTCTCCCTGTCTCAAAATAAATTATAAAAAAGGGCTGGGGATGTGGCTTAGTGGTTAAGCACCCTGGGTTCAATCCCTGGTTATAACAACTACAACAATAACAACAACAGCAAGGTGTGGTGATACATGCCTATAATCTCAGCAACTTGGGAGGCTGAGGTAGGAAGATGGCAAGTTTGAAGACAGTTTGGGCAACTTTGCAAGACCCTGTCTCAAAATAAAAGATAAAAAGGGCTGGGGATGTAGCTTAGGGGTAAATCGTCCCTGGGTATGATGCCCAGTACCACATTAAAAAAAAAAGATAATAAAAAAAGATAATAAATTAAAAATAAAAGCTGACAAATTCTACAAAGTCCAGAAAAACAACTTACTTGTATTAATTAACTGTACCTCTATACTTTCCAAAGACTAGCTACTGCCTCTATATATTTCAAATCTTGCTACTCCTCTTAACTATCCAGGTACTTAGAGTGCTAAGAACTTTAAAATAACAATGTGAGAATAACTACAAATCACAGAAACATAACCCAGGAAACTGCAAATCTGATGTTTTCACACCTTATCTTCTCCATAACCAGAACTCCGAAATGTACACAGCCATTCCAACACAACGGGGAGGATACAATGGAGGGGCAGCTGGAGTAGAAAAAAGATTGGTCTTTACCACTTGCACTTAAAATATATAATGTTTGCAAAACTTTACAGAAGCCTATGACCTGGTGAACAGCTTGCTGGAGTGCTCCCAGAGTCTGTGTAAGTGAGTGATCCTGGATTTCATTAGTTTCATGGTGAATGAAAACTTGAAATTCTTGTTGTATATTGCAAAGCAGCTGTCAGCCTGCTTAGAAAGCCATAGTCTCCTAAAGGGCTTGGAAGCTTATTTTTCTGCTTTTCAAAATGAGCATTTCATACCTTTTTTTTCCTCAAACAATCTGTAGCACTTTGGATGCTGATGGGAATAATGCAGACCCCAGGGTTGTGAGTAGACCCAGTGTGGGTGGAGAAATCAGCCTGGGTAGCAGGGAAGACCCCCTCCCACAGTGAGGTGGGGGAGACAGAGTATGGCAAATAGAAGAACAATGGATCTAGTTAGGATGCCTTTTTTTTTCCCCATTAGGGGGGTCTCATGTTGCCCAAGCTGCCCAGGAACTAGAGTACCTGGAACTATATATAGGCCTGCACAATTACAATCAGTTCAAAAAAAATTTTTTAGTTGTCGTTGGACAAAATATTTTTATTTTATTTACTTATTTTTATGTGATGCTGAGGATTGAACCCAGTGCCTCCCACAAGCTAGGCAAGCACTCTACTATTAAGCCACAACCCCAGCCCTCAAAAATGATCTTTTAAACATAAGTTGGAGAATATGCCTCTCCTGATGAAGATTCTCCACTGGCTCTCCATTGCACTTAGACTAAAACCCAAACTCTCTGGGAGCCTCCAAAATTCTGTGTGTTGGGCCATGCCTGACCCTCCCATATTATTTTTGCCACTCCCAAATTCTCTGTCCTATGTTCTTTGGCCCTCTTTCTCTAGCTGCTTCGATCAAAGCCCTTTCCTATCTCAGGGACTTCGTATTTGCTGTTCCTTTTGCCTGGATTCATGGCCTGGTCAAATTATCACCTCTTCTTAGAGGTTGTCTCTGACCACCTGTACAAAACATAGCACCACACTCTCATTACCAAAAATCGTCCTCCACTCCTCACAACTTTATAACCATCTGAATTATATTTTCTTCCTTCTTGATCATTTTCTGTCTCCTTGTCCCCCACTATAATGGAAGCCTCAGGGGAGCCCAGATCCCGTGGGCTCCCAATGCCCAACATAAGAGGCACTGTATAAATATAGGCTGAGTGAATAAATATAGCAGCTGCGCTTATAGACATACAGATGCCCAGATTGTTTTACAGTTCCCTCCTGGGGCCACTGTCACAGCTCAGAGCTGAAAAGACAGTATTGCCAGTTACTGACACAATCTAGACGGAGACTCAGACCTCTGCTTAGATGAAATATGCTGAAAGAGACAGGAGACAGAAAGCAGAGAAAAGAAACGGACCGAGAGAGGAGAGACTGAGATAGACAAAGACCGGACCCAGACTCAAAGAACAGGAAACCTGGGCCCACAGAAGCCCCAGCAGCAATGGGAGACACTGTCAGGAGGAGGGACGCGGAGGGAGGCGGAAGGCGCTGGAAGGCGGGACGTGCTGGAATCAAGCGGAAAGCTAGCGCGGCTAGTCCAGGAGACCCGGGCCGCCCCTGGCCCGGCTCCCAAGTGGCCGCGGCAGGTGGCCATGCGCCCGCCAGCCCGCCTGCTGGCGCGACGCGTGCGGGATCAAAGCAGCCGGGAAGGGGCGGGGCGGGGAGGTGTCAGGAACCTGGAGGTGCGAGCGAGCGAGCTTCCCGGCCCACCGCGGGAGCGTGGGAGCGCAGAGTCCCGGGAGGCTACAGAGATCTGGAGAGACGACGAGACATCCCGAAGAGACCCAGAGACAGGACGAGAGAATCCCAGAAACCCGAGAGAGACAGACACAGATGCAAAGACCGGAGAGACCACGGAGGAACCCAAGAAATCGCTAAGAAACCTGAAAGAACGTGAGAGATCCAGAAATAGAGTCACCAAGAGGCAGTCAGAGACCCGAAAGACAGCAAGAAAAAAAAAAAAAAAAAAAGGCCCGACGTCTCAGGGACACGGGAAAAGGAAGCACGCTTTAAAGAACAGGAAATAAAGCGAAAGGAAGAGAAGTGGGAAGAGGGAGGAGGGCGGGGAGACCTCGCTCCTCCCCCGCCGAGGGCCGCTTGGACCCCCGGGGTGGGGATCCGAGGGCCGGGTCCTTTCTCAGGGTCACGCCTGTGGAAGTGCAGGCCAGGGGAGGAGAAAGGGGTGTGGAGGCAGTAGGATCCCCAGTTGAGAGAAGGGAAGTCGGAGGACGTGCGGAATTTGGGTCTAGAGAGTCAGAGGCTGCATTTAAATGTTCGGTAGAAATGTTTAAAGAAAGATTTTTTTAGAAATATCATCAAATACGTTCCTTCCCCTTCGGAGACAGAGGAAAAGGAAAAAAGGAGATACTATGCATTGTGCGTTTTAGAAATATCATCAAACATATTCCTTCCCCTTCAGGAAACAGAGAAAAGAGAGACTGTGCATTGGCCGGGAATCGAACCCGGGCCTCCCGCGTGGCAGGCGAGAATTCTACCACTGAACCACCAATGCAGATAGGAAGGATGCTTGTGATTATCTTAGTTGAGCCTGGAAAGACTGATGCAAATGTAAGCCCTGGGCTCAAGGAAGGAGAGGCCCCTAATGGTTAACGTGGGTGGAACGCCAGGTCATTCTTCCTCCCTCCTGGATCCGGCCACCCGGCCATAAAACCAGTCCATATGGCCAGGGGCGGCCCCACACCCGGGTGCGAACAGCCCAGGGCCCCGAGCCTCGCGTGCAGGTGAGAAAAACTCAACCCGAGCCCAGGTTCCCAAGGAGGGGGGCCGCGGGGGCGGATGGGGCCATACATCTGCGTTCCCATTTGGCCCAGGTAGGGGGTTGTGGGGTGTACCGGGAGGTGGGGAGCCCTGATTCCAAATGGAAGCCCCCTTCTCAAGGACTTGGCCCGTTCAGACTAGGACTTTGGTAAGACAGGCTCCGCGAAAATACCAAGATGTGGAGGGGCGCTGGAAGGGTTTGGAGGCAGCTCCACTTGTCTCTGACTCCACAGCTATCTTCCATCTCTATCAGTAACCCTGTCTTTCTGTGTCCTTGTCACTGTCACTCTTGTGATGGCTCATCAAATTTTTGATTTTTCTTCTCAGGTATTTCGTCCTGAAGTCTCCAAGTGTTCACCGATCTTTCTGCAGAGGGTCATGTTCTTGGTTTGAGGTAGGTGTTGATTCTCTTTTTGTATCCTTTTCTTTCTTTTTTAGGAAAACTTCCTGCTCCCCTACAGTCAGGAGGGTCCTCCAGAAGCAGGCAACTCAGGCACACTTGTGTAAGGTGTCCGGGCAGTGAATTTAGTTTTAAACCAAATATTTGTAAGTGGAAAGATCTTTACTCCTCTCCATACTTTAAAGACTAAATTCTTTAAAGAATAGATTTAACACTTTAAAGACTAGATTCTTCTTCTTTGAAGTTCCCCCTGTCCATCCTCAGTCAAGGTACTTTTCTCAGAGTACCTACTTCACTTTGTTTCTATAACGGCTGCTTTTCCACTAGATCTGCGGGATAAACTAGGCCTCTTGTTCATATGAACTGTCCAAACCTAGATTAGTGGCCCTTGTGCACAATGAGGGTGCAAGATATTGGATAAGTGAATGTAATTGATTTAGAACAGAGCGCTTTTTCCATTCCCAGACAGAGGCCCAGCACAGTTGGGTTGCTCTCTATAGGAAGCAGGAGAGGTACTTGGGGGGAAAGGTGTATAATATTCAGTTTGGAGGCTGAGAAGTGTTTTTATTTCAGTGCTAGTGGGGGTACAATGAGCCTACAAAAGGCTGCAATTCTAGGAGAACTCCGAATTTCATCCTTAAGTGAAGTCTGTCCTAAATTACTTAAAACTCCCTCTACCCCTAATAGCCTCCTCCTTTCAGCTGGGTCCCGCCTCTTTATACAGCCTTATGGTCCTTATACCAGCCGGTGCCTCATTCCCGCATCACTTCCCACACTCCCAGGCCAGTTCCCCTCCCCCTTTCACTCCTAGTCTTTCCGGGAGCCTCGTGCCGGGGTCTTTCCCGGGTGGGATCTAGGTGCTGAAGGGGGCGGGGCCGTATTCTATCCCTCCTACCCGGGCTCTGCGGGATATAAGAATCCAGACAAGCAAAGACCTGGTCCGCGCCAGGGTCCGGAGGAGCAATGGTCACCCGGGATCGAGCAGAGAATAGGGACGGGCCCAAGGTGAGAGGCGGGAGGGGTGGGAGCAGAGGTCCTTGGTCCGGCCGGGGAACCTGGGCACTGACACAGTGGGTCGGTGGTGAGGCCGGGACACAGGGCTGAAATAGGAGAGGTGTCCAAGGGACCCAGGGAACCAGGAACTGGAAAGGAAGCTGCAAAGTGTGAAGGAGGTAGTGTCTGAGTAGGACCTGCGTGGGCGGCGGAAGGAGAGTTTTTGGGGTCTGGATAACCTGGTCATTCAGCACCTTACGGCCTAAGGGAGTGGGAGGGGGCTAGAATTTCAATAAAACCAAGAGGATACAGTCAAGGGCTGAGGGTAGGAACAAAAAGAGAAGAGGATGGGCATTCTCCACTTAGGCCGCGAGCCAGGACTGGCCCAAGGCGGTCTTGGAGAGAAAGCCCTGGGTTTTTGTTCCAGAGGTTCGAGATCCGGTTGAAGATTTTAGGGTGAGCAAGTGGAGAAGGGTGACGGCCTAGACGGGTTTGAGGGAGAGGAGGAGGCGCGGTCGCGCTAGGTGTCTCCCTTTCTACACTCAGGGCCGCCAGCTCTGAGCCCCGCACCGTGCGGCCCACTTGCCTGGGCTCAAAGAGGGTCTCCAAAGTTCTCCACTGAGACAGAGACCGCACGAGATCGAGACGTAGAGAGAAAAGAGGAGAGACACAGAGAGGGGAGGAGGGAGGACGAGACTGAGAGAGGAGAATGCAGAAGATCCGGGAGAGAGAGGAGGCGAGCTACAGAAGCGGATCCTAGGGGCGTCGGGGTGGGGGCGGGGGGGAGCGGAGGTGGAACGAATGGGCTCCGCCCTAGTCAATCTGGGATCCTGGGCAAGGGGTGGGAGGGGGCTCTCCCAGCGGCGGGATCCCGACGCCGGTGCGGCTGCGCTGAGTCTCGGTCTGGTGGGCCCGCTCTCCCTTTCCCGCTGGTCGCAGATGCTCAAGCCGCTTGTGGAGAAGCGGCGCCGGGACCGCATCAACCGCAGCCTGGAAGAGCTGAGGCTGCTGCTGCTGGAGCGGACCCGGGACCAGGTCAGTCCCTCCACCAGCCCCGGACCCCCAAGCAACCCGATCCTGCGTCCAAGGGATTCCCACTGGGATTGGGGGGGGGCATAAGCTGGATTGGCCACCCTGGCCCCAAGACATCCTGACCCGAGCCCCGTCTTTGGAATCCTATCCCAGACCCCCCCCCCCCCGCCTCTCATTCTCAGAGGGCAATCTTCTTCGCCACCCCTCGGGTCTGTAAGTTTCCTTTCAAGTTCTGTGAATTTCGCTCCCAGGGTGGGTCAGTTTCACCTTCGGGTTTCTAAATGCCCCCTTTCCATACATTCCCCAAATCAGCCAGCGTCAGTTCTGCCGGTGGTTTTCACTCGCTGGGTTGCTCTTTCAAATCTCCTCACATATTGGGTATTGGTTTCATCCCCTGGGGCTGGACAGTTTTCGTCTCAGGGTGGGACAGGACCATTCTTGGTCATCTCACTCCACATTCTGTCGCGCGTTCTATGGGCAGCGCGCAGTTGCGTTCCGGGGGCACCCCCAGCTCCGGTATCCGCCCCTCCCTTCTTCCCCCTGCCACTTTCCCCCTCTCTCCCCACCCTTTTCTGTCTCTGCGCCCTCCCCTCCCGTCTGTAGAACCTCCGGAACCCGAAGCTGGAGAAAGCGGAGATACTGGAGTTCGCCGTGGGCTACTTGAGGGAGCGAAGCCGGGTGGAGTCCCCGGGTACAGCGCCGGGGTCGGGTAGCTGAGGGAGGGAGGGAGGACGTTTGGAGGCTCGGGACGGGGAAGCTGGGGCGGGCCCTGCGGTGGACGGTGGGCTTGGGGAGTGGCCGACTCTACTCCTAGGCGAGGTTAATAACACCCGCGCGTGTCTGTCTCTGTGTCTCTGTCACTTTCTCCCTCTGTACATCCATCTGGCTTCCTGTCTCTATGCGCCCGTCTGATCTCGGTATCTCTGCGCCCGCCCCTTCCCTCACCCTTGCTGGGCCCCTGCCCTGCCCGCCTGTCCTCCCGCCGGCCGCACCCGCCGCCGCGGCTCCAGGGATTCCCCGGTCCCCAGCCCAGGACGCCGAGGCGCTCGCCAGCTGCTACTTGTCCGGTTTCCGCGAGTGCCTGCTCCGCTTGGCGGCCTTCGCGCATGATGCCAGCCCGGCCGCCCGAGCCCAGCTCTTCTCCGCGCTGCAAGGCTACCTGCGCCCCAAACCGCCCCGGCCCGAGCCGGTAGATCCCAGGCCTCCAGCGCCGCGCCCACCGCAGGACCCCGCCGCACCAGCCCTTGGCCCCGCGCTACACCAGCGCCCCCCAGTGCACCAGGGCCCCCCTAGTCCGCGCTGCGCCTGGTCCCCATCCCTCTGCTCCCCCCGCGCCTGGGATTCCGGCGCCCCGGCGCCCCTCACCGGACTTTTGCCGCCGCCACCACCGCCTTACAAACAAGACGGGGCGCCCAAAGCCCCGCCACTCCCGCCGCCCGCTTTCTGGAGACCTTGGCCCTGAGTTTTGGGGGTGGGGTGGGGGCGGGGGCTGGGGGAGGGGTAGAGACTCCAGCCGGAGGGCAGCAGAGGGACCCGGGCATCCGGGCGAGGTGTTGGGGAGGGCGGCGGGGCGCGCGGGCTCAGCGCGCGGGTGAAATGTGGTCTATATTAGAGTATCTATATAAATATATATTTCCCTGGTTCCTGTCCCTTTTCCCTGCCCCCAACCCCGCGTCTAGGATTGTACCTTTCTAACCCCAGCCCAGCCCCAGCCCCTTCCCGAGTCCCTAGTGCATGGAATAAAATGGTTATTAAATCCCGGTGTGTCCCGGAGCCGGGGGCCTGCCTTTATATCGGTGTCCACGCCCACTTTCCCTTCCCTTCTGTTTCCCACCCCCAGTCCTACTCTCCAAGGCCCAAGCTCCGGGGTAGACAGGTAAGTAAAGAATAGAGCAGAGCGGATACTGAGGTTGGAACTGAGACCAAGACGAAAATGCAGATAGGGCAGGGGGGAAAGGTCGGACAGAGAGAAAAGAACAGACTTGAAATAAAACCGACTCTGGTGGGATTCGAACCCACAACCTTTGAATCGCTCTTTCGTCACTAGAAGTCCAATGCGCTATCCATTGCGCCACAGAGCCACCTGGCTGGCGGTGGCGTCTCGTAGCTTACGGGTAGTAGCATGGGGGAAGGGGGCAGAATGACAGTGTTGTTGACAGGAAATTGGGCGGGGCGTGTTAGGAGCCTATGGTTAGGATCTCCGAAGCCAGCCGGGGAGGAGTATGTTGCTCAAGCACGTGCGCCAGGTGGGAGTGAGGGCGCACAAATGTTCCAGAAATAGGGAGGGAAAGCAAACAAACAGGAGCGAGCAAACAAGTGCAGAGCTTCGGCTGCCCGCTTGGAAAGTGCTTCCAGCTCAGGTGCAGTCCAGTCCCACGTAGCCCCACTAAATAAACTTGTTTTGCTATAAATTTCTGAGTCCCTGTCTTTTGGTTTGTTTTGCTATTGTCACGATGCAGTTCAGAGGCTCGACGGTTCCCTGTTCTTGAGTTTTAAATGTGAAAAGGGAAACTAGTCACTTTAACGTTATCATCTCTAGCCCTATTTTCCTTCTGCTCTCTTAGGAGGACAACGAAGATAACAAGCTCCCATGCAGGTAGCGTGGCCGAGCGGTCTAAGGCGCTGGATTTAGGCTCCAGTCTCTTCGGAGGCGTGGGTTCGAATCCCACCGCTGCCAGGCCAGAGTTTTTCCCTTAAGCTTTATTATCGTGAATGAGTGCCAAGAGCACAGCAGGGGTGTGTAGTGTTACAGGGACCATAGAGGTGTTTTAACTGCTGACTGTTTTCTTTGGTTTCCGAGGCAGATAGTGGATATACATCCATACCCCAAGCCAAGATCTGACAGAAACTGTTTGTGTAAACCTATATTTCATAGTTGCCTTCATTTTGACATCGTCCCCAAGTATAACTATCTCAAAATTAACACGACTTCCTAAATATCTCAATATCCAGTAATTTATCTTTGGATGTCTGTTATAGCAGCTGCAACTATCCTGTTTGAAGACTTTAGAGAGAAAGGTCTTAAGTAGCTTCTTTCGGGTCACATGAGAATGTCACAAAATCAGCAAATAATACATTGGATGTAGTGGTATCAAACCTAAGAAAAGTTAAGGTTCCACCGAGATTTGAACTCGGATCGCTGGATTCAGAGTCCAGAGTGCTAACCATTACACCATGGAACCCCTGTTTTGTACCCTCTTTCGAAGATTATATACATTACTTAATACCCTATTTTGTCATTTACGGAAACCCGAACAACCGCTCCTGGTTACTGAGCATCTGAAATATTAATAAATATGTACTGTCAATGTCTAACGCTTAAGGCTGTACGAAAAAAGGAAAAAATTATTAGAAATGCATATTAAAATAAGATTCGGGAGATGGGGTTAAGTAAAATATATTATTAAGATATTTCACCCTATTCTTTTTACTCTTTTTGATATGGTTACTAGAAAATTTAAATATATATTTGCGTAGCTTTTGCTACCTTCCCTCGGTCATTCGTTCGACTTTCTTGAAAATAAATCCCTGACCCACCTAATACCATTTCCTCTTAAAAGAAGGTACTATATTTTCTTTTTATCATGCTTTTGTTCAAAGGAGAACTGTAAGTTGTATTCGAAAACAAACCTCACAGATAGTGGGAGGGGGAGAAAAAGCAGACGCCCGAACAGGGACTTGAACCCTGGACCCTCAGATTAAAAGTCTGATGCTCTACCGACTGAGCTATCCGGGCTCTTGCTCTAGCTGTTTTCTCTTATCTGTAAGAGGTGTCTCATATGAAAGCGCAGGCTTGTAAGAACTGTGTGCTTTTAGGCAAAGGACCCTGACACCCACTTGGAGAAAATGGTTGTGGCGCACCAGCAGCTAATTGAACTTTTTTCACTTTCCTTCTTTAGAACGCTGTTAAAGGCTGAAACTCCGCCTGGAGCTTCGCGGAGTCTGAAACCTTAGATGCCCGGACTGGCCGCGCGGGGCCGCTGCGGGCTACAGCCTTTCCTTCCCAAAAGGTTCCTCTTTGGCCCCTGTGACCTGCATCCTGGAAATCTCGGGCTCTCAGGCTCCCAGGCTCCCGCCCACCGGCGGCAATCTGAGGGCGAACCAGGAGCGAAAAGAATGCCACTTGAGGCTTTTAGATGCTGTGCACTAGGACTCTATTTTATTCTCTCCATCGGCCCTTTTCCAAGGGAGAAACTGAGATCGGGTGTGCCAAAGGCTGGAGATAGAGCTGAGTGTGCGGAGTGGTTGGAGAGCTTTTGCTGACCTCCCCGTGGTGTGCTATGCTGGGATGAGTCTGCGACTCACCTGCAAGTGGTTATAGTCACGTGTGATTTATGACCGTAAGCGGCTCACCTGTGAATACTGAGTGATTCACAGGGATGATTCACGTGTAGGAATTCGGATCCTCTGTGCTCAGTTCTGTCTGGGAGATAGGAGAAAAGGGTCTTGGAGGAAATTGAGGAGCGGGTATATAAAGGCCCCAGGGATCAGTCGAGTCTCCTGAGTCCCAGGAGAAGAACAATGTTCCAATGATATAGGCATCATTCCTCCCTAACTTTGTTCCTCCCTCCCCAGTGGACCCAGGCTTCTGATATTCATCTGGGTGAGCCAGCCAGAGGGACCGGCTGTGCAAGCAAACAAATATTAGGGTGCAAGTCTGTGGGCGGGGAAAGGAAGTCCAATCCATCAGCCAGAATCTTCGGTGAGAGAGGAAAGCAGGTGCATCCCAGAGAGAGCTGGGACCTTCCTCAGGCCTACCCTTCCCTAGCCCCTAGCCCTCAGCATCCCACCCTGCGGCGACTGTCGATCACCTCCTCCAGGCCATTTGCTGCTGTGGCCAGCGTTGCCTGGGGCATTCTTCCTTTCCTCCCACCATGGCAGTGTACCGCCTGTGTGTGACCACTGGTCCCTACCTGAAGGCGGGCACACTGGATAACATCTCTGCCACATTGGTGGGCACGTGTGGTGAGAGTCCAAAGCAGAGGCTGGATCGAGTGGGCAGGGACTTCGCCTCTGGATCAGTAAGTACAAAGGAGGAAGAGAAAAACCTCTGAGGGGAAGGGCCCGCAGGCACCCTGAAGGAGGGGAGGGGATGATTATCCCTGCTGGACTCTCCTGTTTTTGCTGAACTCGGGATGCTCGCCTCTTTTCTGGGATGCTTGACCTCTTTTCTGGGATGATAAACCTTACCCAGGCACTACGGTACAGAGGAAAGAGTACAGGCAGAGGCTTCCTGGCTCCTTCCATAATGGACAGTGGTCTCTGGGCAAGTCTCTTTCCCTCTCTGAGCCAGTTTTCCCTTCTCTAGAGCAGATCGCCTGCCGTCATCAGTCTCAAGGTTATTTGCTAGTGGCCTACGTTAGTGTGTCCTACCAACCAAGGTGGCTAGGGAAATCCAGTGCCAACTCTGCTCACACATCCCCTGCTTCTACCTGGATGAGGGGCTGCATTTTTCTCATTCCAAAGGAACTGCGTGGGTCAGCAGCAGCTCAGGTTTATAAATTGGCATAAGCCGAGATGTGGATGCACCTTGTAGAGTGCAAGGTTGGCCTTGCCAGTTACCTGCCTTTCACCAGCTTGCTCCCTTGGTCACTCCAGGTACAGAAGTACAAGGTGCGCTGCCCAGCAGAGTTGGGCGAGATCTTGCTGCTGCGCCTTCACAAGGAGCGCTACGCTTTCTTCCGCAAGGACTCCTGGTACTGCAGCCGCATCTGTGTCACTGCCCCAGATGGTACCATTATCCACTTCCCCTGTTATCAGTGGATTGAGGGCTACTGCACCATGGAGCTGCGGCCAGGAACAGGTGGGCCAGCGGGTAGGGCTGTTCTGTACTCCAGAAGGCATCTTTGGGATTAAGGGTGGTGGCTCCCTGTGTGCAGGATGTATGACATAGGGATGGGATTAGGAACTGCACTTCCACGAAGATGTTTTCTGAAAAATGTGCTATTAATACCCTGAAATGCAAAGTCTTTCTGGGCAATATTTACTCCTCTGCAGGCACACACAGACATACACTCTTACACAAACACACACACACACAGCTAAGCAATTTGTGTTCCACAGCCTCCATCTGCACTCTTAAATAATTCATCTGGAACCCAGAAGGAACCAGCAAGCTAATTAGGTTTCAATAGGTGGAGAAGCCCTGAATGTATAGACTGTAGCTGGAGAGTCTCAGTCCCCCATTTTTAGCTTTTCTAGAGTGAATGAATGAAATCCCTGAGAGGTGGGTTTGAATCCCTTGTTGAATTTGTGGGGTCCATTCAAGGATATTGGGCTTGAGTCCCTCCTGACTCCAGAGCTGGCATCTCCACAGAGGAAACAGCAGGCTGCTCTGTTTGTTGAGATGAGTGTCAGGGATGAGTGATGATATTCCAGGTCAAGGGTAGTTGAATGAACATGGCCTCATAGGCTTCACTATGAAATGCCATCCTTCCGCACAGTGCATCCATTAATCCACAAATATATTTGTTTATTAGTTGTTTCCCAAGTGCCTGTTATATGCATGGTGACTGGGGCCATGCCAGATGCTGTGAATACAAAAAAATGAATAGAATGTGACCTGCCTCCAAAGAGACTACAGTCTAGAGATGATTTTTTTTTAAAGGAAAAAGTTAGAAAAGTGTTATAATTTGGGGATGTAGTTGACTCAAATCCCTGATGAGTGCATAAAGAACATGGGAGCATTCCCCACATAATGCACATAAAGATGGCTATGAGGTTGGGCTCAGGTGTTAGGGGGTGCAGGCTATGTTTGTAGGAGGAGGTGTTATTTGAAAAGAGACTTATATGAAGAATAATTTTCATTCCCTGCAGCAAAAACTATTTGTCAAGACTCCCTTCCCCTTCTTCTGGATCACAGGAAACAGGAGCTCCAAGCCCGACAAGAATGCTACCGGTGAGGGTGGGCTAATTTGACTTTTTTTCCCATCTGTATTCTGACTTCGGCTTTAATCAGATCATTCCTAACTCTGACATGGGTTTTAACCTCAGGGGCCCAATTCTGATCAGAACCTCATTTAAATCTAACCCCAAGCCAGGCATGGTGGCACTGGTTTATAATCCCAGCAATTACAGAAGCGGAGGCAGGAGGATTGCAAATTTGAGGCCAGCCTGAGCAATTTAGGGAAACACTGTCTCAAAATAAAAAAAAAATAAATAAAAATAAAAAGGACTTGGAATGTAGCCTAGTGGTAGAGCATGTGTTGAGCATGCTTGAGGCCCTGGGTTCAATCCCTAGCATTGGGAAAAAAAAAAAAAAATCCTATCCAGATCTGAAGCCCAGTGCCTTCATTGAGAAATTTCCAATTCTCTGTTGCTTGCCCCCAAAGTGAGTGGTTTCTGGAGTTTTAATCTGAAGTCATATTTTAAAAGCTAAAGCTTCTGTTTATCCCAAGTTTGATCTGCCACTTCTGGGCTTTCTCTGGGCAGCTGGAAGATCTATGCCCCTGGCTTTCCTCGAATGGTGGATGTCAGCAGCTTTGAGGAGATGGAGTCAGACAAGAAGTTTGCCTTAACCAAAACGACACCTTATGTAGAGCAGGAAGACAGGTGAGGGCCAGGGCTTGGGAAGGAGGTGGAGGGGTGTAAAGTTGGGAGTATGGGGGCCGAGTGGCCTAGAAGGAGGAGTCTATAACAAATACAGTTTATCAGGAGCAGAGGGGGACCAGGGATGGGCCCGAGGGGTCTAGTAGAGAGGGCAAGGGGGGAGCCAGGAGTGAGGGGAGATGTGAGGTTAGGACTGAGTGAGGTAATTAAGGGGAATGGGTTACATGTTCTACTGATTAGTTTCTGTCCTTCCTCCTCCCACCATCTCTTCACAGCCCTGGGAATCGTTACCTGCCTGGCTTCCCCATGAAAATTGACATCCCATCCCTGCTGCACATGGACCCCAATATTCGATACTCAGCCACCAAGACCACCTCACTGATCTTCAATATCATCCCTGCGTGAGGCCACTGCCCTCTCTGCACTCCTGCTTGCTGTCCCTTCTGCCCCACCTCTTTGATGCACATCTCACATCTTTGACCCAGTACCTCTCCCTGCCCTCCATTTTCATCTCCCACTGATCCCAGGCTCCCTCTACCTGTTCCCCACCTCCCTTTTCCTTATCTCTCAGTCTCCCCACTCTCTGCCACCTCTGCCCCTCTCAGAGCACCTACTCTGACTGTGGACTGAGGGATACTGGTGAGACCATTGAGCAGGATAGAAGCCTAGTCCTTAAGCTCTAAGTAGGTGGAGCCAGACCACCTCCAGCTCAAATCCCAAAACCAACACTTTCTAGTTATGTGTCCTTGATTTCTACTTTAGACTCTAAAGAATCTCCTCACTTGTAAAATGACAATAATGCTGGGTGTGGTGACACACACCTGTAATCTCAGCTACTTGGGATGCTGAAGCTGGAGGATCATTTTTTCAAGGCTGCCTGGGTGACTTACTGAGATTGTGTCTCAAAATGAAGTGAAAAGGGGCTGAGGACAGAGCTCAGGCAGTAGAACGCTTGCCTAGAATGTGCAAGGCCCTGGCTTCCATATCCAGGACCACAGGGGAGAAAAAATTATCCCTACCTCATAGATTTTGAGAAGCCTTAAGTAAGACATCCAGCATATAATAATCTCTCAATAGATTTTCCTTAGTAGTAGTATTCAGAGACAGCCTTTGGAGGGAGGAATTCACAGGGTCACTAAGGAGGCATTCATGCAGTTAATTAGCCATCAAAGGAGTCAGCAGTTTAAGTCAATAGCTGGAACTCTAAGTGTGATATGGCTGGAATCCAGTTAACCCTCTGGGTTCCTGGAGAGGAGAGGGGTCAGCTGAGTCCGGGCAGTTCCTTTTGGGAAAAGAGGTGGGGTTGAAGCAGGCTGGGGAGAGAGATGGGGGAGAATAGGTGGGTCCTGTCAAACCTAGTTTGGGGACAGTAAGCCAACAGCTTTGGCAGGAACGGGAGACTTAGTTGGTCACCTGTGCAGGGGCTGTATGTGGCCTTCCAGAGAAGGCCAGGATAAGGAGCTGGGCCTCCATCTCTTGAACCTCTGTATCCAGGATGATTCTTTACAAAAGCAATAGACGGAAGGGAGTGCAGAGGCAGGGGAGTGGACACTCTGGAGTGTGTGCAGTGCTTGAAGTGTGTAGGCAGTGTGTCCTGGCTTGGCCTTCAGGACAAGAACACCTTGAGAGTCCCAGTTAGGACTAGGGACCAGAGGAGCATCTGAGAAGGCAGAAAGAGTCCTTTCGTTGGTTCTCAGATATGCAGGTTTAGGCAGAAAAGGGTCCAGGAATCCACTGGAATCACCATTCTGGGGCTCAGAGAAGGGTCAGAGGGACAAGGGAGCTGATGTTTTGCTCCATCCAGGAGTTTACAGGGAATTGAGCATGGGGTGACTTCAGAGTGTTGTGAAAGAAATTTGTGGCAGGCCCTAAGAAAGGAAAGATCTCTCTCTCTCTCTCTCTCTCTCTCTCTCTCCCTCTCCCTCCCCCTCCCCCTCTCCCTCTCTCCCTCTCTCCCTCTCCCTCTCTCCCTCCCCTTTATTTGCCTCCTTAGCCTCTGCTTTCATGATTACCTTCCTGCCAGTTTTTTTCATCTTCTGGGTTTTGATTGGCAGGCATTGAGCAAATATTTGTGGGATGAATGAGCAAGTGCTTAGTGAGTCCAGGTGGTCATGAATCCCTCCTTCCCCTCTGCCTTCCCCAGTTGCTCATATTCGTTTTGGCACATCAATGTCCTTATGTGGGCTAACTTATTGACTGCCACAAGCCGACCAGTTCCATGCTCCATTCCCTTTCTTTTGGTTCAGTCCACTTGATGAGTGCTTATTAGAAGCTGGGTATCTTGGGGCATACAGACTGAGTCTTGCCCTAAAAAGCTCACAGTCTAATGGGGGTGAAATATATACCCCACCCCCCTGACACACACTATGTTGATAATGAATGCAGGCGATAGTGGGTGTTTCGTGCAAGACCCAAGGCATATTTTGGGGAAGCTGAGTCAGGCAAGACTTCATAAGGACTTCACATCAGAGATGCACCTAGCAGAACAGATAGATCTCATAGTAGGTAGAGATGTAGGAAATGGCTTTTTAGGAGAGGCCCAGCTTGAATGAAGTTCAGAGGCAGGGGAATTTAATCTCAAGCATTTTCCCCCCTCTGATTGTAAAATAATGTTCACTATAAAAAAATTTAAACAGTATACACATTTACACAAAGTCCTCTCAGCTTGCCAATTCCACTTTTACTAGTCCATTGTAGAATGTTCATCTTTGAGCCAGGTGTGGTAATCCATGCCTATAGTCCCAGATACTCATATGAAGCTGAGGCCAGAAGATCACTTAAGCTCAGGAGCTCAAGGCCTTGGTTGGCCTTGTCTAGTGCACAGAAAAAGCTGGAAAGGTTGATTGAAACTGACTGATGGGAAGCTTCATGGACTACTCAGGCTTGGCACTTGGAGCTTTGTTCTTTAGGCAGAGGGGAGCCAGTGAGGATCTGGGACAAGAAGGAAGGTTAAAAGAAAAGCAGGTCAAAGTACCAGTGAGCATGACTTTTCTGTATCTGGGGCGAGGGCAACACTTTTGCATCCCTGCCAGGGATGTTTGCTTTTGAACCAGGTACCCGCCAGGCTACAGAGCCTCACTGACACCTAGACTTTTTCTCCCAAGCAGATTATTAAGCACGTTCGACTCTGGGAAATGACTCTGTCAGTTCTCTCCAGGCAGGAACACGGTGGCCCCCAACAGACCCCAGGCCTCACTCTCACCTTCCCCATCCTTAAGGTCCTTGGGCATGAAGATACGAGGGCTGCTGGACCGCAAGGGCTCCTGGAAAAAGCTGGATGACATCCACAAAATCTTCTGGTGCCACAAGACCTTCACCTCAGGTGTGCAGAGCTAGGCAGGGGATGCCCACCCTTCAATTTACCTCCCATTCAGACCTCTTCCTCCCCTTCCTGGGACACAGTCCTCTCCCAGTTCTCCCAGGGAGACTGCTGGATTCAAGTGGGAGAAACTCCTGGTTCCACTGATGATATCCTCCAGATTCTCCTCTGAGGAGGACATAAGAATAGGGAAGTGAGAATAGAGGGACACTGTCTTCCCCAAATAGGTTCATGGTCATTTAGGAGTTCTGATCTTGATCAGGGGCACACAGTTCACCTCCTTACTCCTGCTACCAGGTGTTCTGAGCTTTGGGTTCAGAAAGTCTTAGGTTCAAATCCCTGCTCTACCATTCAAGTGGACAAGTCACTCCATCCCTCTGACCCTCTGTATCTAGCATTCAATTGAAGATGTAATTGTACCTACCTCATAGAGTCGCTGGAAGACAAACCTAAGAATGAACAAGGGCTGGGCAGGACCAGGACCTAGGGAAGTAGTTTTGAGACCTACTGGTCCCTTCTCTTGCTCCCCTAGAGTATGTCACAGAGCATTGGTGTGAGGACAACTTCTTCGGGTACCAGTACCTGAATGGCGTCAATCCTGTCATGCTCCATTGCCTTTCCAGCTTGCCCAGCAAGCTGCCAGTCACCAATGACATGGTGGCCCCCTTGCTGGGACCAGGCACCTGCCTGCAAACAGAGTTAGAGGTTGGTGAGGAACTTAGCAGTGGGCCTAATAAGTGGGACATGGGTGGGTTGCCATGATGGACAAAGGGTGTGTGTGGAGGGTAAGGTTGGAATGGCCTAGGCCTGTGAGCCTCAGCTTCTGCACAGCCCTGGGCCCTGCAGCTTGTTCAAGCAGAGCAGATATGGACAAGAGCCAGATAGGCTTGGGATGGTTTGAGGACTGTCGGGGAACTCCAAGATCTCTGGTGCTGAGAGAAAGCTGCTTTAGGACAGGTCAATAGCAGGGCCAACAGAGGTAGTTGAAATAATAATGAAGGACTAGGAGCTTCAAGAATGTAGGAGTAACAATGATTCAGTCTCTCTAGGGCAGCCAAGCCCTCAGGAATTGTCCAGAAGGTTAGAGATGTCGTTGGTTAATTTTTTTTTTGAGTGTTGATTTGCTGTTGTTGGATATACAGAGGTCAGACTTCAGAAGGGAATTACATCTGAGTTGAGAGAGTAGAAGGACCAGGTATGGTGGGGAGGAGGAGAGGATGTTGGCTTGTCCAAGTCGAGAGGCCAGGTGAGAGATTGCTCAAAGACAGACTCACCTCGACCTCATTCCGGACATTCTGGGAAGGGTGCGGTACCCAGTTTATGGCTACCCACTTGGCCATAAGTGCAGGCACCAAGAATTGCTGAGGCTGGAAATGGGGACATCAGCTCCTCCTTGAGGTACGCAGAGAACGGAGAGGGAAGGTGAGCACTGGTGGGGAGGGTATGCTAAACCTCCGTGCGCCTTCTCCAGAGGGGGAACATCTTCCTAGCGGACTACTGGATCCTGGAGGAGGCCCCAGTCCATTGTCTAAATGGCCGCCAGCAGTATGTGGCAGCCCCGCTCTGTCTGTTGTGGCTCAACCCCCAGGGGGCGCTGCTGCCCTTGGCCATCCAGGTGAGCCTGAGGATGGGGCTTCGGAGGTTGGGGCCCCCTGAGGACAGTCTCGAGTCTCGCCTCCTCCTTACTCTTGAGTGCAGCTCAGCCAGACCCCGGGGCCCAATAGCCCCATCTTTCTGCCCACTGACTCCGACTGGGACTGGCTGCTGGCCAAGACGTGGGTACGCAACTCTGAGTTCTTGGTGCACGAAAACAACACGCACTTTTTGTGCACGCATTTGTTGTGTGAGGCCTTCTCCATGGCTACGCTACGTCAGCTGCCACTCTGCCATCCTGTCTACAAGGTCCGTAGCAAAGCGGGGTAGGGCCGAAGGGGGTGGGGCCCGGGTGGCATTCCCCCCCCTATCTTTGGCTCACGTGACCTCTTTCCACTCGCAGCTCCTGCTTCCCCACACTCGCTACACCCTGCAAGTGAACACCATCGCAAGGGCCACACTGCTCAACCCTGAAGGCCTGGTGGACAAGGTGCAGCCTCCCTGCCGCAGCTCTGAGGCCCCACCCTTGAGTATGCTTTGTCCCGCCCACAAGCTTTGTTCAGCCCGGAACCATTCCGCAACCCGGCTGGCTGCTTTCCACAAGCCCCGCCCCTCTGCGCCAGTCTCCAACTTGCCGGATTTATAAACCGTCCGCATTTGCCAATTCTCCCACGAAATCTCAAAGTGGAATAAACAGCAGTGGAGATCTGGGGGGTCCCCACTAAGACTCCACCCCCACCCCAAGCCACGGTTCTCTAGGCAATAGACCTCCAGCTCCAGCACTACCCTCATCTGACCTCACCCAGTCAAGCTCCTACCTCCCTGGCTATTAGGTCATATTTTTAGTTATCAAATATCTCAGGATCTTCCCTCTGTACGTAGCGGGGCTGCAACCTGGGCAGCTTGTGTCAGGGAGGCCCATCTGGATGCCTGATCTATGGTCGTGGAGGGTTTGGCTAACCTCAGAAGCCCCTCCCTGGGTCAAGTCGCTAGCCCCATCTCTTATCCAGGCCCTGGGGTGGGGTTTGGGCAAGCCTGAGAGCCAAACTGTTCTGTGTCTGCAGGTCACGTCCATCGGGAGGCGCGGTCTCCTCTACCTCATGAGCACGGGTCTGGCCCATTTCACTTACACCAATTTCTGCCTTCCTGATAGTCTGCGGGCCCGTGGCGTCCTGACCATCCCCAATTACTATTACCGAGACGATGGCCTGAAGATCTGGGCGGCCATTGAGAGGTGGGGTCCCAACCCATCAGCCCCTCCAGACTTAGCTCCTTGTGTCTGGGCAGTGTGGGGCCCCTGTGTATTCCTTCCAGTTGAGACCCTTGGGGCTGGGGATTCCAGATATTTTCAGACTCCAGACTAGGGAAGAATTGGAATTGGGGTGCCTTGTGAAATGGCCGCTAGAAAGGTATTGAGTGTAGTGAATGCAGTGGATGAAGGGAAAGGAAAGGGGGTGTCCAGAGGAGTCAGAGGTCAAGACTTTGTCCAACAGCTCAGGAGAGCTGTGACCTCCCAACAGGCAGGCTCCCTCCCGAATGGTGAATGAGGAGGAGGATGCAACCTGAGGCTGTTGGTGCATTCTCCCCCAGGACCCTGTGCAGAAAGGAGGACCAAAGTTTCTGTGACTCAGGACAGGAATGATACTTCAGGGAGTACTTGGGCCCTCAGGTCCCCACTGAGCTCCCCCAAACACTGGGGGACTCTCAATGGACTCTGACAGCCTGCCTCTCCCCAACCTAAGCAGCAGTGGACCTTGGTGTTCTGGCTAGGCTTGGGCTCAAGGTCACTTCAGGGGCATCAGCATCTCTTTCCTGCAGCTTTGTCTCAGAAATCGTGGGCTATTATTATCCCAGTGATGCGTCGGTGCAGCAGGACTCCGAGCTGCAGGCCTGGGTCGGTGAGATTTTTGCTCAGGCGTTCCTGAACCGGGAGAGCTCAGGTATTCCTTGTCGGTTCCCATCCCCACCCCAAACCCCTACAGGTTCTTGATGATCCAGTTCTCCCTCTGGCTTCCCGGCTTCCATTAACAAATTCTTATTTATTACTGTCTCACTTAGCAGATGAGAAAATAGGTTCAGAGAAGCTTACAGAGGCAGAATTCTGATCCTTCCACCTTTATACAAACTCATCCATTCACTTTCACTTACTGAACTCTGAACGTTGTCAATGTGCAGCATGCAGTGGTAGGAGCCATCTCTGACTTAAAAGGATTCTCGAACCTTCTCTCATGTCTTCTCATGCCTGTCCTGACAGGTGTTCCTGCCAACTACCAATGTCTCTTCATTTCCTGTGGCCACAAACTTCTTCACGGTGTGGGTTGGTCTTGTTGTTGCCTGACTCCTGACTAACATTTGTCACCTAACCTTAGCTGTCCCCTGTCTTCTGGCACTGCCTGAAAGGACTCAACCACCAACACCAGTGGTGCCTCTCAACCTCCTTTCCTTAAACTCAATGCCAAGCAGATGCCCCCACACCACCCTAATTTCTTTAATCTTCCATTAGCTCCAGGGAGGTTATGGCCTCCTGACACTCCTACTTCTTTCTGAAATCCAGCAGTCTCCCCATCCCAGAATTTGGCTTGCCCTGGCTCTCTGACTTCTCTTTCTACCCCTCTGCGATGGAATGAGCTCTTCTATTTCTCCTCTGTGACTGATTTTCAGAAATCCTATATTCCCCCTCTCTGAAGGACTTTTCTTTTTGGCATCCCACTGTCACCCTTTATAGAGGAACTTCTTACCTTGCTTGGGTTAAAATGGTTCCAATGTCCATCCTTCAATTTTCTCAGCCCAGCCTGAGACTTCTCTCAGCAGGGTTATAGCTTTCAGCTGGCTTACTGCTTCTGGTGGCCACACAGTAGAGTTCCTGTCTTTGGAGACCCAGGGAGGAGAGGTGGTCTCAGATCACCTTCATATGGAGAGAATAGCTGTTGCAGTTCTATCTGGGATGGGATGAGGCTTGGAGCTTCTTTTTTTCTTTGTGGTACTGGAGATTGAACTCAGGGTCTCACACCTGCTAGGCAAGTGCTCTAACACTGAGCTACATCCCCAGCCCCTGCTTTTTTTTTTAAACAATAACAACAAAATTTTTTTCAAACATATAGCAATGTATAGTATAATCAGCATCCATTTGCCCATTTGCCAGATTCAGCAACACTATTTCTTATTAATCTGTTGCTTTTGTTTATTGATGGAACTTTTGCAAGAAAATTATAGTCATCCTATTTCACCCTAGTTAATATGTCTCTTAAAATATAACATTTTTCTACAAAACCACAAGACTGTCTTAATTTCTCTTTTTTGCCCTCCTGGAGATTGAACGCAGGGCCTCATGCATAGTAAGCACCTAGGTAAGCACTGAGCTACACCCCCCAGTTCTACACTTATAAAACTGACAATAACTTCCAACATTGCCCCACATCTAGTCCACATTCAAGTTTCTCTGCCTGTCCAGTTTTCCCCCAGTTGATTCCATTGATTCAGGAATCAATCGAGGATCACATGGTACACATTTTGTTAGTTTTGCCTCTAAAGTTGTTTTTAACTCAGAAGGGCACCGCTTCCCCCTCTGCTTTTTTTTTTTTTAAGAGAGAGAATTTTTTTAATATTTATTTTTCAGTGGATAAAAATCTTTATTTTTATTTTATGTGGTGCTGAGGATGGAACCCAGTGCCCTGCGCATGCCAGGCAAGCGCGTTACCACTTGAGCCACATCCCCAGCCACCCTGCTGCTTTTTAAAATCATATGACATGGCCTCAGGGAAGAGCCCAGACTAGTTGTTCTGCACAATGTCTCACCTTCCAAATTTCTCTCATGGTTTTCTCTTGATGTCACTTATCTTGTTCCTTTGTCTCCTGTGTTTTTTTGTAAACTGGAAGAAATACATAAAGGTTGTACATTTTTTGGCAAGAATATTTCTCAGGTGATGCTGTGTCCTCTGCATTGCATCATCCTGGGAGGTGTTTGATGTCAGATTGTCTCAGTGGTAGTGATGCCAACAGTGATTTCTAGGTTAAGGTGGTGACAGCCACATGTTACTTGGATTTTTTAAAAGGTGACCTTTCCTGGTGTTCTGCCAACCTAATGTTGATAGGAGTCATCCTGATCTGCTTCTCCACCCTACCTTTTGTTTGATTTTTGTTTTTCCTGTTTAAAAACTAGTCCAAGTGGGCACGGTGGTGCACACCTATAACTCCAGTGGCTCAGGAGGCCGAGGCAGGAGGATTGCAATTTGGGGGCCAGCCTGAGCAACTTAGCAAGGCCCTAAGCAACTTAGTGAGACCCTGTTTCAAAATAAAAAATAAAAAGGACTGGGAATGTGGCTCAGTGGTTAAGCACCCCCTGGATTCAATCCCTGGTAGCAAAAAAAAAAAAAAAAAGTTTGCAGGCAGAGGTATAGAGGTATAGTAATGCAGATACCCTGAGGCTAGAGCCTGTTGGTGTTTTTGAGGGCTATCAGGAACGCCTGTGTGGCTGGAGTGGAGTTAGAAGAAGAAAAGTTGAGAAGGAAAAGAGAAGGAATGGGAGCCAGATCAACTAGGGCCATGATAAGGTGAGTGAGAGGTTAAAAGGTTCTAGTGAAAGGCAACATCATCTGATTTATGATTTCTTTTTCTTTTTTGTGGTACTGAGGATGGAATCTAGGGCCCTGAGCATGCTATGCAAGTGCTCTACAACCAAGTTACACCACCAATCTCTGATTTATGATCACTTTGGCTGTCATGTAAAAAACTGGCTGGACAAGGTGAAACTAGTGGGATTCATCCAGGAGAGAGATGATGGCGATTGGGTAGTGGTGGAGATTGAAGAGAGATGAGATTCTGAAAATCTTTGCCAATATGTATGGTATGAGATAAAAACAGGAGCAAATGCACATGTTTTGACCTTGTCAACTGGATAAAGAATGTAGTTGTCTCTTCCAAGGGGGATTGGTTCCAGAA